GTTATTTTTGGTGTAATAATAAAGATTGTTGCTAGTTTTCTTGAAAATTAGTCTAATATATTTGTTCAACGCACTAAAGAACTTAGTTAAATTGTCAATCACAGTTATTTCATTAATTTCCTACTCATTCCTGCTGTGAAAGCGTCCTATCACATATTAATGGGAAATAAGTTTTACCTGAGAATCCCACATAGTCAAAGAAAGGAAACATTTTCCATATAATTTAATTTGGCAGGACTTTTTTACTAAATAATCCAAAAAGACAAACCAAAAATCGAAACCATTAAATATTATTAGTATTTATTATTTATTTATATCTTAAGAACTTAACTAGTTATGTGTAAAAATGAAAGGCAGAAATATCATCAAGTTATAACACTAAAACATACAACTTGAGGCTAGATATGCCACTAGATATTGGTATCATAGGGATAGAACATACTACTAGGGAAAGTATCAACTGCTAATGTAACAGACAAACAGAATGGTTCTGCAGCAAAACCATTCCGTACCAACTAGATTGGGCCCCATAATAGTAGACTGCCTTCCTGTGTGTTAAAACGTATGTTGTAATTTCCTTGAATATGCAAGCAGTATTTCCTGGAGTCCTAAATGTATAGGACCGTATTGATATATTTGATGCATGAAATGAATTGTTTTCGTTCTGAAAGCATGCTGCAATTGCTCAAACACTAATCTGTCTGTGTGTATATGTTGTGTCAGTGGTACTCAATAATTATGTGCTTTCAACTATTCAGCTACCAGATCGAATTAGTCATGAACACGGAACTGAAGTGTTGCTCATTTGCGCATAAGTGAGTTTCTTGTCACATATCTGTTAGAGTTGAAGTGGAGTGTCCACTGACCCTATGAAGACTGTAATGGTCAATGACTGGCCCCTACCTTCTAATAAAGCAGAATACATTAGGCCCCTTTGAAAGTGCAATATAACTGTATTATTCTTTTCTTTTTTGTGTGCAAAGTTTGCTTGTTTTTGTCAAAACCTCCTTATCCATGACCTACATTTTTATGGACCCTTTTGGTTACCTGTTGTATGTCAGTGTAGCTGAATATCATTCAGTGCAAAGTATAGTATATATATATATATATATATATATCCCCCTTCATCTGACCTTTTAAAATATATAAGTATCATTTCTTAGACGAATTACCATAATCTTTATTAATCTATATTTTTGATAACTATGAATCTTCCTATCAGGAGTGATCCCATATTTGAATAATTTATTTCTTACCCAAATTTCAAGCAGCTCACAAGTGAGTGCAATGCAGACTTATCAACAGTACTGCTGATTTGATTTGGTATTTACAATCTGGATAACACCTTATGTGGCACGTGGAGTTAACGCCCAAGTCAGAAACTTCAATGTTTAGGGATAGTTATTCTTAATTTAGAGCTGATTTTAAGGGTAAGAGGAATCAGTTGATGCCACGCGTTGACTCATTGCCTACATGGCTACTCTTAACCAAATGATTCTATTGACTCTCATGGTTATAACATCCTCACAGCTGAAGCTGTAGTGCTTGTATAGCAGTATATTGCAGTTCGAATCTTTGACCTTCTGACCTGCAGCCTGGCATACTGACCATTAAATCGCGCCTCGACCCCAGATTTGATAGACTCTCAATTCTTTAAGATGAGCCCCCCCCCCCCAGTTGCACAGGCGGTATGTCTGAAGACTTACAATGCTAGAAACCAGCTTTCGATACCAGTGGTGGGCAGAGCACAGATGGCATTGTGTAGGTTTTTGCTTAACTTCAAACCCAACAACAATTCTTTAAAATATATTTAATTTATATTATATAAATTGGTATAATGTAATACATCTAACCCTAAGGTAACCAACAAGCATTTTGATAATCTATGCCTGGTGAAGCAAATCTGAATGATAATTTAAAAGATACTACCATAACATAGTTGAAAATTAATAATTCCTAGTATATAGTGTTGAATACATTATATTAAAAATATTTTAAATGGAAAATTCAGCAAGTCACGTGACAAACACAGTCGACAACAAATTGTGAAGAAATTGTATATCATAACTATATTTTGACATTGTTTGGCTTTACATAGGTATCTTGAAAACCGATAGTTAATGAGAAGGGCATGTAACAGCCCTTTCTGATGCAAAATATCAATACACTCAGATCAGAGATTTAGAATTTCCAAATGAAGATATCCCTTGTACTTAATGACATTGGGAAACAAAGGAATATGGATCCACGCACAAGCACGAATGTCACTGGTAAAAGCGGTCCTAAGCAAAAGTATGCAATATAGTCATAAATATCTTAGTCTGGAAAAGTGGCACAGGTCACGTGTACACCATTAGCTTCCACAACATACACGTTAAACAGTTACATTCTTCAAGCAACTGAGTATGAAACGGGTATTTATGCTCTTCCCATGAAGACATCTAATAAGCTTGTTGGATACAGCTCCTATGAATTTCTGTGCAATCAGACTGTTGGAACGGGCACTGGGAAACCTTGTTCCTGTAGACTAAATGAATTATGGAAAGTTGCAGTGGGAATAGCATGCTTTTAACATGGGAGACCTTTTAATAGAGATTTTAACATCGGAACGTTTGCTAACGTGGGCATTTCTTAAGTTGTGTGGTCGTCAAAAAAGAGCATGACCAGATGTGGCGACATAACTGTAATAGTGTGGCGATGTTCCAGAATCGTTTAAAACCTATTTAAACACATCCAACCTCTATAGCTTGTGCCTTGTAATCAGCGTTACTTGACAATTAAAGAAATTTTTAGCAAAGCTCCATCCTACTGCGTTTCGTGATAATGCACTTCTATTTAGGATTTAAACTCATCATGTTGTAATGTATGGTAAACCAGAGTCAACCTTCGAGAAATAGCACAGATTCACTTAAAAACAAAAGATTTTATCAAGATACCAATAATGGAGTAATATTAAGTTTCTGAATAAATAAGTCGTGATAGTAAATGGGATAAATAGTCTGGACACAAAAAGAAATACAGAATAAACACTCTTTATGCAACAGATGAAAAACACAAACACGGTGTATGTGTTTTCTTGCTTTTATGGATCAACCAACTGTCGCTTTCATTAAATGTTCTTTATAAGTTGCTTCTCCTTATAGATCCTGTTTCAGACTTTAAATTCGACGTTTCTTAATTTGCAAGAAATGTTGCGTTTACCCAAAGCGACTAGCGCTTTCCACGCGATTATTCATTCTCATTCAGAACATAGGTGACGCAGTAGCCTCTATATATCACCTAAACGACCACTGATAGACACCGCTGTCGACCTTGCACAATATGCGGATGTAGCGATATTTCCCACTTCCTGGGCAAAAGAGGTATTATCCATTGAGAATAAAGACAGATAGAGCGAAATTAACAGCTTTCTTGACCAAATGTTAGGTGAAACTTGCACATATACCGAACAACAATAAATTCAGAACAAATACTATAATATTACAAGGTGACAGAAATAGATGGTATATTCGTATACTACAATATATAATATCATTAAAAAATCTTCTTAATTAAGTGGAAATTTTTAGTTTTTTATTATGGTTTTCTGAGTAGCGTTATACTTAATTGAATTTTAAAACACAGCAGTTTTAAACTAAAATCATTATATGCTTTGCATTGATATGTTAAATAGTTTTATATATTTTTCAAAGTTATTTATATTAATACCAATGAAGAAGCTCTAAACTTCGAGATGGCAGTTGCAACTACGTTTTAAGTGAATACAATAAACTGTTATTAATAATAATATCTGAATTATTACTCTAATATGGAAGGTATTGGAAGTGAAGTAACTCAGAAAATCAGGGTAAGTTTGTTTTATTGCAACTATAGATTTATGTGCGTTATGAGAAATTAGTGAAATTTCATGTAAACTATTTTGGTTTTATATGGACAACGATATGCTATTTCAATTCAATAGTTGATGTTGCACATTCATTCACACTTGACTCGAGAAAAGAAAACTTAAAAATTTAAGCCTACAATTTCTTCTTTAGGAAATAATCGATTCTCCTCTTAAACTTTCCAATTAATTCAAGTCATTCTGTAATACTTCAGCATTCTCAGTGCAGTTAGAATAGAAATACGTAAGAGTTTTATGTCATCAGCTAACTTCACTAAAGTATTTTAATATAATTTAGAAACTATGAAAGTGCTTGAGCCTTTCCCATTTCTTATTTACATGAATGGTTTTGATAGGACATAATTAGTAAACTTGGTAATTTCATTAAACTCTTTAGTATTTCTAACTGTGTTGAAATTGTTGAGGTACAACAGAATGACTGATCAATTGGTTAGTTGGACAGATAGTTTTCAAAACTGTTGTCAACAAACTTTACTAATTATGCCCCTTATGAATATATATATATACCATTAATGATAAATAAGAAGCACTGATCCCTGAGGTACTTCTCTAGTAATAATCATCCAACTGGACTGCAGTAATAAAAACCTTTCACTTTCTCACATTTCACCACCCTATAGTTCAGTTAACTAGTCTTTCCCAAACCCATACTGATGTGATTTTCTTAGCTAATCCTTTGTGTAGTTCCTAATCAAAAGCTTTTCAAAAATCGAGTTATTCTCATGTCCACAACTTTTCCTCATTCAGATAAGTAACATCCTTGTAAAAAGATAACATATTAGTAATGCAATATTTCCTTTTTTTAAATTCATGTCAACTTTATAATATCACATTTCACTAAATGAATTTGTAAAGCTTATTTTATCAGACACATTTTTTTTCCCACTATAGAAGTGAAGCTATCTAGTATATAATTTCTAGGACAACTGTTATCACACACTTTAAACAAAGGAGTAACATAAGCAACTGTCCAGTCTTCAGTACATGTCCACTAAAAATGAAAGATACTCACATACTGTATCTGGCTGTTCACCTTTACTTTCTTTGGTTCATGGGAATCTTTTCTAAGCTTTCTAATAGTCGTCCTCCTCTTCTGGCTTGGAACCTCTGTTTAGTTCTCAGGGCTTATGTTATGTGCCATCCATTTAAACCTTTGGCTATCTGTTCCTGTACAATCATTCTCTTAACTATCTGTTCATGGGCTCATTCAAATTGACCAACCCTGTATCTGTGAAGCTATACATAATTATGTTTAATGTGATTCTGAATTTGCTATATGTATCTTCATAAATCTGGCAAGCTTTTAGTAAATATTAGAAGTCTGTTTTACATACAAATCCATTTTGTTGTTAATGTATTTTTCCTAAAGGTGTCTTTGAATTTCCAAAGCCTTTTAGTTTCCTGAGTCAGTCTGAGGCAAAAATGATTTTCTTGCTAAGAATAAAGATACTTCATTTCATCTTACAGTTTTCATGTTTAATTTGCATAACCTCTAGAGCTTGTACATGAATATCAAAATTTTTTTGGTTAAAACTTTGTTTTATCTCTTATTTTCTTGATCCTAACAATAACTGTAACAAAATCATCAATGTAAAGTCAAACAGAAAGTTGAAAAATATGAAATATAATGAATAATACTATTGTTTTCTTCTGTATTGACTTAAGTATTGATCAGAAAGTTCCAAATTATGTATATTAACATTTTCAACTGCTGATATTTTCACATCAGCTTCCTATTAATTTTGTAATTTTATTGTTGTACTTTGTACCTACTGGAGAAGTAATCCTCTCATCAAAAGCAACTAATCACAGCAGGAGCCCAGTATCTGTTTCCTCCAGAGCTAATATAAACAGCACTTAATTGTGAGACCCTGAAGTTTATTGATATTTCTGAATTCAATCATGGGCTGAGGTTGCCTGTCATCAATCCTTACTTTCATACCTTGTTTCTACACTATCGCCAACCCTACCTCCAATTTTGTACCTTGTTTTAGTCCCTGGTTCCCCATCTTTTTGTTCCCAACTTCCTCTTCTAACCAGTGTAAGAAACATTGCACTTGTTGGTGACATTTCCATTGTGTCAAGTCCCATTGGTGCCCAGCTGTTATAGTTTGAGCTCCTGTGGTCACACTTTATTGTCCACACAAGTACTTTCTACTTTTTACCCATAGATTTTCTCTCCCATTCCCTTCTCCTTCCTGCCCTCATCATGTTTTCTTCGTCCTTCCATTCCCATCTATGTCAACTGTCTTTTAGAGGCTGTGTTCATCACCACTTCCATTTATTCCTCTCTCCATGGGAACCGCTTATCCCTTTTTGTAGGACCAGAGGTATGCCTCCTGGGATTATTTGACCTCAATGGTCTTTCTGTCATTTTCTCCATTCTAGTATTTGTATGGATGGCTGGATTGATACAATATCACTCACTATGTTCCATTACCTCCACCCACACCAGTAATACACTGTCTCCAGTAACAATCATTTCCAGCACCACAAATTCCTCCTCCCTTTTTTCAAGTGGAGCAAGTGAGACCCTTACCACTTACCAGTTCCTAGCTGCTAGGGTGGGTACCACTGAGAACCCTCACTATTTGGGACCTAACAGCTGGGGGGTTAAACAAGAGGTTTCAATCAGTGGGCTGTTGATGGCACTGCCAGTCAGTGTAGCATAGGTCACCCCTCATGTACTTATACCAATGACATGCCAGAATCACTTTATACAACACTGCAATCTGCATCTGTTTAGTAGAATTGAGGAGAGCACATTACAAGACTGTGTTCTCCTCATGCAGCTTGTGATTGTTCAGTAGTCAAGGTGAGCACACAATATACACATGCACTCTTCTTCTGCAGTCATCTCCTGTTCAATTGAGATGAGAATTTACTAACAATTGTTGTCCTCCTCCCACAGTCAGTGTTGGTCCAATAAGTCTGACAGTAAAGTTCAGGTGAGCACTAGGTATGATCTAAATATACCCCAACCATGCCACACATATTGGCTCTCAGACCTCTTGTGTGCAAGTATTTGAACAGCCATATTCTTATTCTGCTCATCCCAGTAACACATGGGGCTTGTTTCCCTCTTCCTCCCTTCCAGTCTGGATGAAGAGTGTACCCTGAAAGATATGAGATGCAATCTGTCATGAGTGTGCCACTATGGAGTTCCGGCCATTGGGTGGCACACTCCATGGATTTCCTTCAAGCACTTTCTGAAGGGAGCTCATCTAGGTAACTTCCACACTGGACTCTTTACCATATCAGTGTGGGATTCTAGCTTTCTGTGTGACGAGGTATGTATTGCATTGGAGGTTAACATTTTCCTTGCCTGAAAATGTATTTCTGGTAGTTACTCACCCCCTCACACACTTCCCATCCTTCCTCCCCCACGACCAGTGCAACTTAGTATTCCTTGCCTTATCACAGAATGAAGATCATGAATACAAAATCATAGAGGAAGCTACTGCTCAGGGAGGGCTTTTGCTGCATAACATCATTATGCAGTAGTATAATTCAAGAGAAATTGAACGAATTTAGGTGGAAGTTGCCTGAAGGCTAGTGGCTTGCAAATCTCTAAGGCAGACACATGGGGAAGATATCTTTCTTTGTGAGGTGAGAATTTATTGGAAATACATCTTCAGGTAAGGAAAATGTTAACTTCAGATAAATACTCACCTCTCCCCAAAAACACCCACTCTTCATCTTCACTTCTGATGTGATGTGTCTCTGTCTTGTCAGCAATGAGCTGTTGACATACACGAATAACACAATGTATTCAAGGAGGGTACTGTGCATGGAAATGTGTCACCTTGCTAATGGTGAAGGCTTATAGTCTCATGCTGGTTGCATCATAGACTGTCACAGTACACATTATTATGTGTAGGGATGGGAGTTTCATTCAAAGGCTTGCTGCCAAAACATGTTAAGCAGTGGTGCAATATATTAGTTATCTGTTCGTATGAAGAGGTAAACATGTATGTGAAACATGTTTTTGGATAAGGAAAATGTTGATATTTCCTCTTGCAACATATTACATTCTGTGAAGCCATCAGTGGTACTTGTGAGTGAATGAACGAGTGGATAGCATACACACTAAAAAAAGGCCCAACTTTAGCGGGAAGGCAAGGTAGAAGACTACCTGAGATGACAAAATCATGAAAACTTTTATATTAATTTTACTGTTAGAAGAATCAACTATCTCATGCTAACTTTACATCCTCTACTATTTTTTTACTGACCTGGAAACTGTGTTCATAAACACAAGCTCTGTAATATAATCAACTTAAACATAAAACAAGCTTCTTTTAGATTCAAGAAAGGATACCTTAAAGATGTACTTTACGCCTTTGCAGCTATACAAAATGAGGCAAATGAAGTTCTTCTAAATCTAAATAGTTCAAAGTTTACTAGAATTTACCACAATTCATTTATGTGATGTTATATATACTTTTATTGATACTAGTTATGTAGGGTTTCTACTTGAGGAAGCATTTTAAAATCTTGTCTATTACAGCAAAATACCTAAAGCTGGACCTGAGCATATATCTTTAAATTTTAGAAGAAAAAAAGCAGCTATGCCTAACAGGCTTTAAATTAAATTCATATGATGTAGTAAACAATGTACCAAGTTAAATATTTTATCTACATTAGAATAATAGTTATAAACGTTCTTGTATTTTTGTGCTTGATGCATTTTTTGACCCATTTTTTGAAACAAGTAAATGTTGGCCTTTACGTTTTTTTAATCTCTGGGCAAATTTGAGTTCTACATACAAGACTGTGTGTAGTTTTTAATATCTCTAATTATTAGAAATTATAATGAGCATGTTACAGCTACAACATCTAACAACTAAAATAAGTCTAGGAAATTATTCTGGTTATTTCAGTTTTAAAAACTATTTACTTTAACATAACAAGAACCAATGTGACAGTTTATAATTTAGAATTATAAACCAGTTTTATTTTGTTCTTGTGTATGTAAAAGTGTAATTTATTTTTCTGCATATATATGCAGTGTAAAAGTAACATATAATAATAACTACAAAAAAGTATCAGAACAAGATTATTCATACTGACATTTGTTTTTTGTTTATGGAAAATGTATAATAACAATAACTCAAATAGCCTTGTGTTAATGTTCACAAAAAGAGGTACAAAAGTGTGATAGGTTTTAACCAATTTGTTTTAAGTTTATTGTGTAAGTTGGTCCTTTTTTTATGATGTGCTTTCTTTTTTACAGTCTGCGATCAAAGCAAAGTTAGTGGAACTGGGAGCATATGTAGGTAAGTTTTATGAATTATATTTTTGGTTTCGTAAGTGATACTTTCATATGGTTTAAACCATATTCATTATACTTACACACGTGAATCTATGAAAACTGAAAAAGCTAGATTGTAAAGTATCATCGGACATTAAGATAATAGTGGTAAACAAAAAGTAAAATTTTGTTTTATCATGGTGTTACTGATGAAAAAATTGGACAAAATTGAAAAAATTATATTATAAGAAGATGAGCAAGTGGGTTCTCTTAAGAAAATTTGTAAAGTCAAATAAAATTACATGTTTTTGTTCTCTTTTCTCACTACAAATTTAGCATACTGTATGTCGTGTCCTCGTGGCTTAATGAGCCAGCACATGCACTTACAGTGATAATTCAAAAGTTAAAAATAAAAAATTCTGTGACATGGCAAGAAATTAAATACACCTTGAAAACAACAAGACTCAACTGCTAATTAGTTAGAAATATTTCATAAACTTATCCTTGTTACTTTACTGGTAACACTAAGATGACAAAGGAGAAAAAAAAAGTGTTAAAATCCTGTTTGTTTGTTTTTTGTCAGTTTTATATTTAAATTTGTTATGGTAGTGAAAAATATTTATAAGACTCCTGACATGAAGAAAATCTATTAGGTGTATTTAAGCAATTACTGAAGTTAAATTTTAACTGAACACACAAAAGCTAGATATATATATATATATATATATACACATGAAAACATGCTGTAATAAGTATGTTCTTCACTCTTCTACATTTACATGCATACTTTGGTTCTTGAAATATTTTGTCATCAACTGGTGAAATTAAAAGTAAGTGGTAAGTCTGTACTGTATTTTTACATGAAAGTAAAATTTAACATTTCAGATGATGAGCTTCCAGACTATATTATGGTTATGGTCGCTAATAAGAAAACCAAATCTCAGATGACAGAAGATCTGTCTTTATTCTTGGGAACAAACACAGAAAGTTTTACTTCATGGTAAGGTGGTGATTCTGTAACAATTAATATTGTTTGAAAAAGTATCTTACATATATTTTCTTAAATCTTAAAAATTTTAATACACATCTATTTTTATTTAATAATATACAATAATGCAGATACAGTACATCAGTTTAAAGAAATGTATGTATGTTCTTAATTAACTAAATGCAAAACCACTAATGAATGGCATTTAGATTTATCAGTCTAGCAAAGAGTAGAGTCAAATCACTTTTAAAATTTTTTCAAACCAAAATTTCTGTTCTTGAGGGTGACTTAAAATCATAATGGTGTAGTTCAACAGTTATTAAACACAGTTTGTTTTCAGCAGGCCTAAGCAACTAAAGAGCTTAGAATAAAACATAATGTTACAAGAATCCTTTAAATGAAATTATTTTTTTTATTATAACTATGTAACTTAGGAAGCTATTAATATAAAGTCTTTTAATTGTAATAACTGAGAAAGAAAGAATACAAAATATGCTTTAAGTAACAGATGTATTAATTTATGTGATACATACTTCTGTAGGTTATATTATTAAAAAAAACATATTCAAATATATGTTTTTGGTTTTCCAAATAATCATTTCAGAAATATGCCAATAAAATTTTTAGATTTTTTTTTTCATATTTGCCAGAATTTTTCTCAAGTATAGAGTGAGTGCTATCTATTGTGTTTTTGCATAATGACATAGTTAGAAATTGTTAAAAATATATTCAAACATCACAACCACCTTGGCCTCCGCTGGTTTCATTGAATCTTTTCTGTTCCATATATATGGATTTCAAGCATGTCATTCATGCAAGGCTTTGTACCATATGGTGGATAATCTGGGGTGAACAACACCAGTAATCAGACAGAGGAAGTTGTCCTGACAAAGCTCAACACTCTTTTGACTTGTCACGTTCTCCTCTAAGGGAAATTGCTCCATGAAACTCCTTTTACGTTTCTTTACCTTTTACTTTTTTTTTGGTTCCACTATGAAATTCAGCAACAGCGTCATTTTGGGCATGTTTTTTTTACAGTATCTTTTTGACACTGGACAGTACCATATTTTTTTGTGTGTTTTCCTGCCAATTTAGTTCTAGTTAATATTTTAACAATATACCAAAACATTATATTTATTGCCCTTTTGATTTTCTACATTTTTAATTACTTTTATATTATTGTTGTTTGAATAAAAAAAAATTATACACCCTGACTGCTTTCTACTAACAACCCACCCCCTCTAACATTGACTTTAGATAGCATATGTGTTATGTACATATGGAAATCAGTAAGCTCTCATTATTTTTATAAACAAGCTTTTGCTTAAGCAACTCTTTGTGTTATGTGTATATATTTAATTCAATGTAAGTTATTGAATTCCAGTAACTATTTAGTGTAAAATAAAACGCATTGTTTACAAAATACTGGAGAACCTGCAGATTTTAATTGTAATTTATTCTGGCATTTTCCAAAGCTTGATTTGTACTTCTTACTTAACATTTATGACCCACACACACAATTTTGAATATTATTTAATTAGTTTCAGATTTAAGAGTAGATAATGTAATTATTATGAGTCGTGAGATCTAAACATTTTTAATAAAAGAAAATGTCTCGAAAATCTAAATTGAATTCAAAATTTCATTATCATCACAATATTGTAAAAAACAATATCAAGAAAAAAGTTTACAATGCAGAATTTCTTCCAACTGGATTTTATATGGTAAGCTATCTCAGTTGCTGAATTTTTACAGAACATGTTGTATATATAGTAGTTGATTAAATGTTTCTTCTTTTATATGTATTACAGTTATACTTGTAATACATTATCTCAGTCTAAAAAATTGAGCTGATTAACAAGAAAACAAGAGACTTTATGATAATGATGGGGGGTTGTTGTGTTAAAAACGTATTTATTTAACTATATTCTTTTATGTTTCAAAATTTTAGATTTCAGTTTTTACAATCACAAAACAAGTTAGTTTAAAAATGAAAATAACTTTTAATGAATCCATAAAAATGTGTTTCTTAACAGATTTATTATTTTAATATGTGAAATCAAACATTTTTAATGCCTATATACAAAATTTGCCTTTTATATATTAGCTTTGAATGCTCTTAACCTTTATTTTAACTTCAGAGAAAAAAGAAAGATGACATCACCCTTGAGCTGTAATAAACAATGTTGTGGTTCTTAACATCAAGTTGAATGTTATTTTATTGTCCCATAGGCTTCATGGAGTGTTGGAACACCTACAGAAAGTGACATTTGGTAAGAAAAAAAAAACGTTTTTATTTATAAACTAATTATTCAATCTTGGATTCAAAGCTGAGACTCATGAGGCCAAAGTAGAGGACAGAAACCTTCCAAGTTTAGGCCAGTTTCAAAGCCAGATTTTCCAGGCCTAGGAGAGACCTTTGATTTTTTCAGTCATGTTGTTGTTGGATTTTTTTAGCACAAAAACTACATAGTGTCTGGGCTCTGTCTTCTGCAGTGAATGGAACCCCAGATTTTAGCATTGTACATCCAGATGTTTAGTGCTGACCCACCAGGAAAGTTGATCCATGAATATGTTTTTTATATGAAGAGAGATTAAACAAAAATGTGTACTAATTAAATCCAGATGTAGTCCCCTTAGTCATAGGACACTAATATGTAGGGGGAAGAGACATGGAATCTTATAAAGTCCTGCTGAAAGTATGCATAACTTGAATTAACTACAATACAAATGGTGCAGTATGCTAGTTACAGTTTAAAAAAATATTGTATGTATTTAAGGTACAAACACTACATAAGGTAGACACCATGGTTTTTTCTTCCTAACCCTGCCATTTTTGTTTTTCACAATGAAGAAAGTGATCATAGACACTTTTCATAAAATAATATCATTACTTTTAACTTTATTAAATACTTCAAATATAATAACTGTGGAAAAGGGGGGGCATTATGAAATGAAAAAGACACACAATTTTACCAACCCTTTTTATATATCTTTTAACACATTCCACATAAAACTTACGATTGCATTCCAACAGAAATAAAAATAAAATGTTAGTCACTATCAGCCATTTCCTTTGCAAGTTGGGTAGAGTTGCAAAACTAGTAAATTCACAGAATTTAGAGACACTAACGTCCTGAGAACTAGTTCTTATTTTGCCCCTTTTGAATATCTGATTGTTATTGTAGTGTTAACTTAAACTAAAATTATAACAATACACTAATTCTGATGTTATTTTAATATATTTTTTTCAGGATGAAAAAAGCTCCAATTACAATGTGTACACATTTTTTATTTGAATAAGAGTCGCATAAATGCTGCAAGTGATCAATAACAGTTTAAGAAATTATAGAAATACATTAGAAAAAACATAGTTTAAAACAAAAATCACTTAATTTGAGTGCATACAACAGTTCAGTTTCTGACTTTACTGCTTAAAAGTTAAAGTACAGATCTCAACACAGGTGCCTGATTTTAACGGGGGACATAAAGGGACCCGAAAAAGTTGAGTGAGACATGACCTCTCCCCTCTTATTCATTCATTTGTTTGCTTGAGTATGGAAGTTAATAATTCTTGGGTCAGTGGCTGAAGGATTCATGACTTTAACCCTTTCACAACAGGTAGGTCAAAGAGTGCATATCACATTCTATTACAGAGTTACATACACAATTTAATTAAACTAATTTATTGTCAATGTATACAAATAAACTAGGCATCAATACATAGTTAATAAACCAAATTCATAGTGTATAAGTTTTAAATTCTTAAGGTTATGAACAAATATTTTAAAAAATCCTCCATCTCCCCTAGTATGAGAATTGTGACATTTGCTCTTTAGGTCTTCTCTAATTTATTTACCATCTAGTCTACGCTGCTATTTCACAATTTTGCAGTTTGTGAAAATTTCATATAGGTTTTTGCCAGTGTATATTTTTTTTTCACTAATTTAATGTCTGAACATCACTAAAAGTAAGTTTGGCTTTTCTTTTCTTTTCTGTGGTCATCTTAAGGCATTTTTAGGAAAAATGCCTTATGTAAGCATTAATTTTTCTGATTTGATATAAATTTCATAATGCTATAACTCTAACATTGTATCCTAGCAGTGTAGACCATAATGCCCCATACATAACAATCTAATAGCCAATCCTGCTGAATATAAGGGTAACATTCTTGTTATATCACATTTTGTCTTAAATGATGTGCCCATGGTTATTCTCGACTGCTAAACAAAGGGTCAAGGGTTCAAAACCAGCCATATGTGAAAGGTTTTTTATCTACTACATGTAGTTTGGCAAATTGGTGAAATTGAATTTTATTTACAAAAAACAAAGAAATTGAACTTTCCAGTCTTTTAATAATCAAAAACCACAAACAATAGTAATATAAAATTTAGTTATTGATTTCCAGAGTTATATTATCATTGTCATCAGGCTCAGAATCATTACTGCCTCTGTACGTATTTTTACAGTTATCGGAATCATATCTGCAAAGTTCTGTACAGGACATATCATTTCCTCTACATGAAAATTGCCCACTGCACTGGCTCTTCATGTATCCACATCTTACCAACAGTAGAACAAAATTAGAAGTAAAAGATATCTGGTAAGTATTGGCATGAGTTATTCTGAAAATTCTTGTGACCTTCCAAGATCTGATGGTGAGAGGGTTTCCAGGCATAGGATGAGTGCTACACTGAAAGTGGGCTGTATGTGCATGTTCATGAATAGCTCTTTGAGTTGGAGGTAAATTTTCTGTGCCTTGATGTGTGTTAAGCCCTCAGAAGTAATGCCAATGGAGTGTAGATGCTTGGCTGAAAGATGCATTTTTCAGGCACAGTAAATGGGAGACAAACTCTTCAAAACCCTTTAGTACATCAGGAGAAGGTTCTTTCCCAGACCCAAGTCCATTAAGTGCGTGAATCACATCATCTCTGCATTTCAAAGGCATTCGACCAAGCAGTCTTGCTCTTGCCAAATATGTGTCCATTTGTGTCACAAACACTTATTGTCCACAAGATTCTCACCAAGTGCATGATATGTGGGTCATAAAGAGACAGGCCAACAATTTGCTCCAGAACCCATAATGATGAGTGTTTGATCACTCAGTGCTGGCATTGCTGACAGTGCAAGGACCAACACATCTGTGTCTGGAGAATAGGTGTGAACATTCTTTCCAGTTTTGTACAGTTCTGAAGTATACAATATTAGCATTTTAACTGCTTATTCTTGTGATCTTTCATCAGCACACCCACTTCTCAATCACCTGCTGGGCCAAGTAGAGTGTGTAAAGGTCTTTTGTCTTGGTGATGTTCAGAAATTTGTTGTAATCTCTGTTACATGTGTTGTTGTCAATTTTATACTCTGGCATGTGTGTTGATGTTCCTCCAGTATGACATTGTCTTGTGTGCTATTTAAGCAATTTCACATTGTACTTATCAAACACAACATATGGATTGGCATACTGTTAACTTTTGCTGTCTATGGCACAAACAAAATCTTGAGCCAGAACACTGCAGTTTTTTATATGGTCCATAAACATAGTCATTTCAAATGAAGGACAGCCATAGCATCAAATAGAATTGATGTATCACCAGTGACCACAATCAGTTTATCAGTGGACTATCTGTTTCCTCTTCTGTTTCTATCTGTTCTTCCAGCAGATGAATAAGTTGTGCTTTGCCATTATACAGATGTCGTCATCCATCCATTGACATTAACATATGGTTAATGGGAGAGAATTTGTATTTTCTGATTACTTCTTTCAGGTTGATGTCACTGGATGATCAAGTTATTAGAAGCAAATGCACTATAAATGTTTTTGATGCCTTGATCACAACTTTCTCTGCTTCTATTTTGGTTTTAATGACTTTTTTTTCTTTCATTCCATCCAAGAGCTTTCAACTTTGTCATTTTGTCCCACACGTTTTGCTCACCACAGAGTCTCTGTACCACAAAATCCTTGTAAGCAGATTCACCTAGATTTGCAGTGCTAAGTATATCCTCTTGCACATTTTTTTTGGTATGATTACTTTCTTTATGAGATGTACTAACATCATCTCTGTGCCATCGTTCACCTCTCCAACCTTGAATGGATTGGATTTGGACAGGACATCTTTCAGCTTTTGTACTTGTTGTTCCTGTTGTGCAACTTTTACACAAGATAGATCATGGTGCTGATTTCTAGAAGAGTGTTTCATGCCAAGAATATGTTCTGTCTTGGTAAACAATCGTGTTAACTCTGAAGTACTTAGACAATATTTCAATAAAACCTCTGGACTAGTGGTTATACCATAAACACCACCATTGCATGTATGAGCTTTATTAATATGCTTCTGAGCCTGAACAACACTGATAGCTGTAAATGCTGTGGCATTTGTTTGGACTGTAAATCCTCCACTTTTGAACTCCTGACAAATGACTGGATGTTTTTGCTGCAAGCTGTATATTTGTGCAATACATTTTGGGATATGCATCTTTTAGTTAAATCAGTTGTATGGAAAAAAAAACCAGACACACATCTCCTCAAGCAAAGCAAGATGCAAGTCCCATATGCATTGACCTGTGCTCCAATTGAATTGTTGCAGGTTAATGACTTTCTGCATGCACATCCTGGCCCACTTTTATATGGGATATTTGATGTTTTTGGAATCAAATGTCTCTATGAGTTTGTGGAGATCATATTAGGTAATCATGGATATAAGTTTATCCTGTGCTGCTCCAACATCAGCCTGAGTTTTGCAGACATTGGCAAGTTATTAAGTGCATCCTTCAGTTTGCTATAGACACTTGGGTCATCTTCAAAGAAAGCATCAAACCATAGATCTGAAAGGGCTTGCAGTATCACTTGATGGCACTGTATAGCACAATTGTAATGCAGGTTATTGACAACTGTGTTACTCATGTTTGCTTCAACCCATGATTCATTGAGGCCACTGTCTTGCACAGTTTTCCCAAGGCATCATAAAGCATACAGAACATTGTAAAATTGACCTGGTGATTCAATCCATTTGTCTTTGTAGAGATCTGGCTATAAATAAGCCAGTTTGAGGACTCTTTCTATAGGTCCATGTCAAGCCATTCACACACTGTTTGTCTTCCTTCAGCTACTCTAATTCTGAGGTTCAATTGATGAAGACCCGTAAGTGAAGTAACTAATGCTGCAATGAAGTTCATACCCTTATCACTTTTTGATTTATTGTCTGTGAGAGCTGTCAATGTTCTCCTTCTTGTCTGTTTTTGCCCTTCTGTTTTATGCATGACCTATAATGTGAAATATCTTGACAAGACATCTTTATCGTCAAGTAATTCACTGTAGTTGACTTTCCATACTTCGTTTTCACTCTCCTTTACAATATTTGCAATCTGTTCACTACTACTTGCATTCCTACACATGAAGTTTTTCAGAGCTGTACTTCTGATAAAAGAAACATAATTCCTTATTAAATTTAGGAATCTGAGACCATGTTATCTCGCATGCTGGTGCATTGATGTCTGACAGAGTAAGATGTGCCCCATCACTACATGTAATTGTGCTACTGGCAGATGGATGACCATTTGTCTTAATTAATTGAGATGAATCACCTTTCAATATTGCTTTCTGGCTTTGCGAATGTTGGTTTGATTTCTACAATCCACATAGCATTTTGAATACCACATATCATTGTGTTCCTTCAGATGACATGGTTGAAGTCCTTGAAGACATTCTAATATTAAAACGAATTCTTGTTCACTGAGTGTGGCTCTTTCCTTAACACATTCAAGAAACTGTTCATAGCCGGATTAATTTGGTTTTGGATGTTGTTGCATTTCTGTTAATTGTCTGGCATTTGATGCACAGCTTAACATCTGTCTCTCCTTTCTTCTGCTTCTCTGGCTGGCTTTCAAATGGTTCTGTTTCCATATTCTGGAAAAAATAATAATAAAAATTGTAGTATGTTTTTAAAATTTATGAAAATAATAAATAAAATAATACAAATTAGCATAAAATTTATATAACAAATAATACTTTATATAACAAGGGGTAATATACATTAATTTGACAACTATAACATCACATTTTATCATTTTAAGTGACTCTATAATGACCCAAAATAACCAATTATTAATGGTTTAGCCTAAAAAATTCAAAATGGTTGCCATTAATCCAAGATGGCATCCGAAAGCAACAAGCTTAGCTGAATTTTTTGAAGGCTTTTATTGCATAGTTCAAAAGCCAGAAAGATTATGTAGTTATTGGAGATTGCTTTTTACATGTTATTAGTTTGTGTTCTTAGATACATTATTTAATTGAATAAAAAATTACTTAGTGTAATAGTACCATTAGTATAAAAAGGTAGGCTTTAAGTTTTATCAACAGTCAAAAACAAAAATAAGAAGACCCAGGTAAGTACTATATTTCTTGTTTTTCATGTGTATTATTTATTTATTATTATAAAAGTAACTAAAATGTAAAAATTAGAAACTTATATTAGCAGCTAATACATTATGTAATTCGATACAGTAATGTGAGCGGTACGTTTACTGAGTGGCTTACAACTTGAGTGGTGGAATTATTAGTTAGATACAGTTCAAAAGGCAATAAAATAATAAAGTATAAATAGATGTATTCAGTTACAAGCTTTAAGCTATTTAGGATAAACAGTTGTGTTTTTTCTGTTACATTTATCTCTTGGTTGATAAACATTTGGTTGCATTTTTTTCACTATAATGTAATTAATTAACTTTTATGGACAACTTTTTAAATTTGTGTTTGCATTTTTCACTATAACAAAAATTTATGTAAAAGTTGTTATAAAATTTTGCCTGTTACAAATCAATTTTTCACTATTACAAAATTCAAATAGCTAAAGAGCTATTTTTCTCTGTTATAATATTAAAATACCTTTAGCTGCTAAGCTATTTTTCATTACTACATAATTCAAATTCAGTAGAGTGCTATGGGTAAAATTTCAAACAGCGTGCCATTCCCTCATTGAGCCACATCACAGAATATTCTGCTGTAAGATCCTTCTACACCAACATCTCGTGCAGCATCAGTCAGCCTTTGTTACTTGTCTTGTGTCTAATGTTGTGAAGTGAACTGTGTGTTTTTTTTTATCAGCTGTAATCTACCTCAACCCTCAAGATGTCTGGCAAGAGACCTTACTCAAGCTCAATGCTGGATATGAAATGAACATAATAAAATGTAATGAAAAGGTGAGGAAACTCACTGTCATCACTTTAGGAAGAGTTTTTGTGATGGAACATATGGAGAGTATGCTGAAAATTTGGTTAGAAAACCAGAACCAATGGAACATTCCTGTCTCCTTCTCACTGATCCAAGAGAAAGCCAAGACTTCAAGCAACATAAGGGCAGTAAAGTACCACCCAAAGTTGCTGCTGATGTGTGCAAGACCAGCCATGGCTGGTTGGAATGTTTCAAGAAACATTGTAACCTGCAAAATGTCAAGCTGATGGAGGGAGGCAGCTAGTTTAGATACTGTGGCAGCAGAAAATTTCCCAGAGATGTTGAAGAGGATAATCAGGGAAGGTGGCTACTCCAGCAAGCAAATTTTCCACATGGACAAGACCAGGCTCTGCTGGAAGAAGATACCATCATGCATCTTACTCACAAGGGACGAGAAGACTGCCCTGGGTTTCAAGGCAGCCAAAGTCTGCTTAACTTTTCTCTTTGGAGGCAGTGCAGAGGGGACTTCAAGTTTAAGCCTCTCTTAGTCTACCAGTTTGAGAACCCAAGGGCTACCCTAAGTCTAATCTTCCCATGGTGTGGTGGTCCAACTGTAGAGCTTGGATGACGGGAGCCCTCTTCCTTGACTACATTGTGTCTTATGTCTCCTCTACCATCATGGATTATTGTGTAAGAAACAACCTGTCTAACAAATTCACGCTGTTCCTCAATATTGTCACTTTTCATCTGGAAAACATCAAGGATGTTGCTGACAACATCAAGGTAGTGTTTTAACCACCCAAAATTACTTCCCTAATTCAACCAAGGGCATTATCGGGACCTTCAAGGCTTACTACCTGCAGTGCACCATGGGCATATTATCAGGGAGATGGATGGCAAGGACAGACCAACTATCCTTAATGTATGGAATGCGTTCTGACATCAAACATGCCACTGACAACATCAGTGCTTTGTGGGCTGAAATAACACAGTCGGCAATGCCCTACACATCCAGAAGGAGATTGTTGGTTTAGCAAATGAGTTAGGGTTCAGTGAAGTGGACCAGGATAATGTAGTGAAGTTGCCTGCATGTCATAGCAAGAAACTAACAAATGAGGACCTACTAGAACTCAAAAAAGAAAAGACTGCTGAAGAAGATTCTAGGATCACATCACCACTACCACTAAAACAGCTGACCACATCAAAGAAGCCATGTCTGTATTCAAGGACAACAACCCGAACACAGAGCAAGTTCAAAATGTGGCTGCATGATGGAAGATACCATATGCTGTTATAAGAAGCTGTATCGAGAGAAGAAAAAGAAAGCAATGCAGACATCTCTTGATATGTTCTTCAAACCTCAACCTTCAGCCACCTTCAGCAATACTCATCCTCTTCACCTCCCTCACCAGATATTGAAAAACTCATGCCATTACTTAATGATCCCTCACCATCTCCGTCCAAAGATTGACAGTAATCGCCATAGCCTCTCCCTCCTCCCATCATCTCGACAAGCAAAGCAACATCTACTTCTTGGAGAGTACACTATATTACATTTTTGTATTTTATTGATGAAAATGTCTTTTTATTTCAGGTTTTTCACGTTATAGTGGAAGAAAATGTTATGTTAGTGTGGCAAAAATTTGGGTCAGGAATGCAACCCCTTATTTTTTACTTTTAAAATAATGGGAAAAGCATTTTAAATTAGCTTTTTATTGGTTATATGTTTCTTTCTCCAAGAATGTATCTCTTTTGTAAATTGAGGGATATCTATACAATTTCCAATCATTCTAGAAAGAAAAAAGGGTAACTTAGATTTATTTCCTAATTTTTTGTGATGGTTTACGAGGTCAGTCAAATTGACCAGCCCTGTATAGAGCTACGGTGGAGAAAATAACATATACAATGTAAAGTTTTTCTGAAAAAGTGATATTCATTTGGAGGTTTTAGAGATTATGCAACTTAAATTTGAAAATTTTCAGATGGAGAAAATTATTTTAGTTCTTAACATGAAAAATCACTTTGCACTTGAAACAGTCAACACACTGACTCAAGATATTTGCAGACAAATTTTTATTAAAAACACTTAATTGAAACTTCTGATTTTTGTCTACAAAGACTTGTAGTGTTTACTGAAAGCTTGCCAAATTTCATGAACATACATTAAGTACTTTCAGAGTTATAGTATATATATATGTATGTATATATATATATATATATACCACCATTGTTACGTGGTGGTTACAGGGTCATAGTAAAATACATGAGCCCATTTTGAAAAGGTTAAATATTTAAGGAGAAATTATTACTAGGAATTGTGTACGAGGTAAAAATTGATTTGATAAAGAAAGATAGTTTTTATTGTATAAAGTATATATTCACAGGTTATCTTTTGTCACAAGAAAGAGCATGCAGTAAAAATAAATAAATATTGTTTTTATAATATATATTTGTATGCAGCTTATTTTTTGGTACAAAATAAATTTTTTGATAAGGAATACAATTTGTCATGAACTTCATATAAAATATTATGGAATTACAATTTAAATGTACCATAATTTTTGTTTTTTTCCAGAAACTAAACAAAAGTTAGGTTTCGTGAGTGAAGAAGAAAAGTCTGAAAATAGTCATTGCCCTGAAAAAGCAACAGAAACCACTAAAACAAAAGCAAAAGATAAAAATATCATAAAGAAATTTCCAGGAAATCCTGTTTCAAATAAAACAGTCAAACCCAAAGAGAAAAAGTCTAAAAGTAAAAAGCCAGTTGTATGTGAAAGTATAAACAAACAAGCAGAAACAGTCTATGATAATAACCAGACTGCTGCTTTAAATTCTACATCTGATATCTCTCCTAAAGAAGATGAAAGTTTAAATCAAAAAACAAACAAAAACTCCCATGTTGCTAGTAGTTCTTCTGGTAATATGGAATCAGAAAAGGAAAAGAAGAATGAAACAAAATTAGAAATTGGAGGGACATCAAACATGGACAGCCACTGTGATGATAATATTTTTACTGATAAACAAAGACAGAAAACCATCAAAGGGAAGGATATTTGTGATACACACATCAATACTCTATCAAATAAAGATGTCTGTAAAGAAACAGAAAAACCACTAACTACAAAGACTTCAGTAAAATATAATGCCACAAGTGGTGAAGGTTTACTGGACGTTGAATTGGATGAAAATGATGAGTTTTTAGCACTGAAAGCTGATCCTGAAACAGGTAAGTAATCATGTATACGTGTATTTGCACAAAAAGAGTTATTTAAGACAAATAATCAGCATTTACAATAATAAAATGGTTCAAATTGTTATCTTCTTGATTTATTAGCATTTAATAATATTGGCTGAAGTGTGTTAAATAAAAAGTTATTATTTCTTGAACTGTTATCATTGTTGTCAAGGTTCAAAATTACAGATTGCACACAATCATGAAAAAGACTTAATCATAGTTTCTGCCTTTTTTGTGTATGTTAGGGTAGTCCTTATCCAGAGGTAAAAATCAAAAGTAGTAATTTATTTTGGAGCACCCCAAAGTTTATGAGGATTGACCAGAAACTAAAGTAGACAAAATTTCAAGGGAATCAGAGCATATTAAAAGGTCACTACTGTCCCTTGAAGTTTCTCTCCATGTGATTTTGGCCTGTACAATGTGAATCATATAACAATGAGCTACCCAGACAATCAAAAAGTTGCACACATGATGCAAATCACTCTGAAACATTTGAGGAAAAAGAAGAAAAACAAATTTACTGTACAATCATAGAAAAATTAATTGCTCAAAGCTGCTAGTATTCTCCCCTATTACAGAATCAAACAACATTTGCTTCTATAGCTTTCATGATGGTGCTCTTCTTTCCATCAGGGATTTTCTTCCTTTGTTTGTGGTCCTTATCTCTGGTTTGAAGCCAGCTGGATTCTTCCATGAGGGACACACCATGTTCTGCAGTGTCATTGATGACCCAGAGCTGCTTGTTCCCATGATCTAGATCTTTGGAGAAGAAGGAGTCCAATTTGATGCCCACGATTTTGAAAAACTGGAGGCTATTGGTTGTGACAAAGTTCTTCAGGGTTTTGGCCTTTGTCTTCATGTTCTTCTCTTCAACCATTACTTTGTTCTGCTGATCCATGTTTCCATGGTTCTAGAGAGCTTGGATTGTGTGATGCTTCATCTCCATGGGCACATCATCATCAAAAGAGGCAAGAGCAACAAGCTCTTCAGAGAAATGCAAGAAGTGACAAATTAAAATTATCAGTGCAGTGTTGGCCACATGTGGATCTGGGGTTTTGTAAGCTTGAAGAGCCTGGATGATCTGCAGGTCATTTCTTTGAGCAGACAATGGAGAGGTGGGCTTAGTAATATGCTTTGTTGTAAATGGTGGACACAAATATGTAAATTCTTCTCATTATTGCCTTCTCTCTGACTGTAGTGTAAAATTCACTTTGGAACATGAAGACATTGAGACTATAGATAACTCTCACCATCCCCTTAGTGCACTGCATCATTCCTGGAGCCACCAGTTGAACTCCTCAAAGTGGTGTCATTTCTGGGTTGCTAAGTCTGGAGTATCTCTTCAAAGAACACAATTTTGTCATGAATGTCCAAGACAGAGGATGCTCTAGTGTCGTCATTCATTGCCAGTCTGTTACCTTTCCCTGTTCAGGAATTCCCACTTCTCCAAAAAGCACTTGAAGAGCAAAATTTCTGGTTCAGTTGATGTCTCCAAGCAATTTGAGAAGACTGCCTCCAGCATCAATTCTCAGGGGAAGTGGGACAAGCTTGTTTCTAACTTCTTCTCAAGAAGAACATGGGCCCCATTTGTATTCCCAGTGTACGAGGCAGTGGTGTTGAAGCACATGGCTCAAATCTTATCTTCAATTTTCCAGGATTGGACTGTATATTCCATTTTATTGTAAAATATGAAATCTTAAAAATAACCTATGGTTTTGAATATATTTTGCTAAATATTTGTCCAGATTAAGTTGTCACTAATCCTCAAGATTTCCCAGGGTGACCCACTGAAAATGTAGAAGTTCTGGAATAAGTGCCTCCCCAGTGCACATGTACATTTGGGCGTTTTTATAGGGGCACAGTATGTGCAATTATTGTCAACTTATGTGAAAATGTTTATTGAATAAACTCAGTTTTATTTCAAGAAAGTGTTTTAATTTGAGAACATGTTTTTCTTCTAAATCGGTCATATAGGTTTTGCTTGTATATCAGTAGCCCTTATGTATATAAGACATGCACTAATAAATCAATATAACAACTCTCACATGTGTTTTATTTATAATATCTCTAATGAACCTTTATTTGAATATGAATTTGAAGACATTCACATACAAATGTATACAACCTCTAAACGTTATGAGTACCGTACATGTACTTCTGTCAAAGATTATGTCAATAGATTAGTTGTGAGTATATTTTATTCTGTATCAGATGATTTGTTAGCTGAGGAGCTGCAAGAAGACTCCTTCCTCCAAGTTGGATCTAAGCCAGCTGTTTCATATCAGAAAAAAACTGCAACAGTAGCAGCAGTTTCACATACCAGATCTTGTAGCCCCAAAAAACACAATATTGTTACTCCCATTCAGAGACATGATTCATCAAATGTGTTACAGCATGTCCAGTCTGTCACTCCTAAACATCCTACTCTCCTTCAAGACAAGTCAAATAAGGTGTGTTATTGTTTTATCTTGGTGTAATTTAATGTATGAATTTTTATTTTGTGTTATAATTGCAACAAAGTCGAGCTACATTGTCATAATTTATACATAAATTGTTAAATATATTACAACAAATCTCAGTAAGGGGTACTTTTTTATACTTAACCATATACTATTAAACTAACATCTATGGAATGATTGTCATGTTATACAAGAAGTTATTGTTTCTTCTTATATTTTACAAAGAGCATGTAAATATCTTGTTGTATAAAAAAAATACATGTCTTTGCCAATTTGCTTACATTAAGTTCTCTATTTTTTATGTATTTTTTTCAGTTTATTCTCAGAATGTATCAAAGCACCATTCTTTTTATTTTTTTTCTTTAAATTGAAGTACAAATTTCATTCTTAATGAGAACTGCAAGTACTACAAACATGTTTTATACAATTTTTTTGTGTATATGCACTTCCAGGGGTGCTTTTTATCATTGTATCCACAACTTTATCACTAAAATATATAAATGTCAAATAGGAAACCTTTTAAAATTTAATTTTATTATTTTTATCATTGCATGTTTAATGAAAGACAGATATTATAAAACCTTTCATAAGGATAGCATAACTTTTTTCAGACTAATAAATAGAATAATACAGTTGACATACTGGTGTATTTCTGTAATTGATATGCAATTTGCATCATCATATATATAAATAATTATCGCTTAGTTAAATTGTTTTAGTTGCACTCAGGTGAATAATGACACTGTTCTTGAAGTTTCTAATACTACACCAATTTATGCAAATTTAGTTGTTAAAGTTAGTCAACTTTTTATCTCCCTAGTTAAGTACATTAAGTGTTTAAAAATCTACACAAAAGTTACTGTCAGTGAAATGCCATCACCAACAGCTAAAATACTTTCTCAGAAAACATTCAGTGAGGATATAGAAATGAAGAATCGTATTTTGGTCTTGGCACGGGACTATCTGCAGTGGAAACTGTATGTACTGGTAACATATTCATTTGGGACTATCTGCAGTGGAAACTGTATGTACTGGTAACATATTCATTTGGGACTATCTGCAGTGGAAACTGTATGTACTGCTAACATATTCATTTGGGACTATCTGCAGTGAACTGTATGTACTGCTAACATATTCACTTTAGACTATCTACAGTGTGAACTGTATGTACTGGTAACATATTCATTTGGGACTATCTGCAGTGAACTGTATGTACTGCAAACATATTCACTTTAGACGATCTACAGTGTGAACTGTATGTACTGGTAACATATTCATTTGGGACTATCTGCAGTGAACTGTATCTACTGCTTACATATTCACTTGTGACGATCTACAGTGTGAACTGTATGTACTGGTAACATATTCACTTGTGACGATCTACAGTGTGAACTGTATGTACTGGTAACATATTCATTTGGGACTATCTGCAGTGAACTGTATGTACTGGTAACATATTCATTTGTGACTATCTGCAGTGAACTGTATGTACTGGTAACATATTCATTTGGGACTATCTGCAGTGAACTGTATGTACTGGTAACATACTCATTTGGGACTATCTACAGTCTGAACTGTATGTACTGGTAACATATTCATTTGTGACTATCTACAGTGTGAACTGTATGTACTGCTTACTTATTCACTTGTGACTAACTACAGTGTGAATTATATGTACTGCTTACTTATTCACTTGTGACTAACTACAGTGTGAATTATATGTACTGCTTACGTATTCACTTGTGACTATCTACAGTGTGAACTGTATGTACTGCTTACGTATTCACTTGTGACTAACTACAGTGTGAACTATATGTACTGCTTACGTATTCACTTGTGACTATCTACAGTGTGAACTGTGTGTACTGCTTACGTATTCACTTGTGACTATCTACAGTGTGAACTGTATGTACTGCTAACTTATTCATTTGAGTACTGTGACCTTTTTAAGGTTTAGAAATAAGAGATGATAATGAAAATAGGAAATTTGTAGAGGAATAAAGCATGTTTTCTGTGATTTTTGTCAAAGTTGTATAATTTTTTGTTATTGTTAAGTGTGTACCTATGTTGGAAGTTATAAAGAAACATACCATGAGACTTACATAGGTATTTTTTATGCAGAATTTTCCAGAATTAAGTTTACATATTCCACCTATTAGGTATAAGATGCTTTTGTTTTTATTTAGCTTGCAATCAGATAAGTATAATAAAATTCAATATAACATTTCTTAATTTAATAGTTGATGTTATCCTTTTACAGAGAGCTTACAAACTCTTCCACATAGAGGAAATAACTTTTTATTTTCACAATAGTTGCGGTCGCTAAAGAGAGGTACGTTCCCCAGTTCGACAGTTGGAGCAGTTGTACAAAACCCTTCTCGTTTTGTAGAGGAGAATGAAGAAGAATATGATCCTCGTAATCCCTCTGTTGGGAGCGTTGCAAGCATTATTAAGGTTTCAGAAAGACGGTAGGTTGTTTTTGTTTAAAGGACTTATTTATGGAAGTAAAAGAAATTGAATGATTATATAAATTTAAATGTATAATTTTTTAAAATGCATGAATCCATAGAGCCTTATATTTTTCATGGAAATTATTCCTTTCATAATGTTCCTGGGTGGGTCAGTGGTAAGTTTACAGACTTACAATGGTAAAATCCAGGGTTCAATTTCCCCTTTAGTAGACAGGGTGCAGGTATCCCATTGTATAGCTGCTTGTTAAAACAACAAGAATTAACAAATATTCTACAAAGCAAATTCTTTTGTTTTACAAAATTTAACTGCCTCATCACTCACATTCTCTACGAGTATTTAATTAATCCCATTTTAACTGATGTAAAGGCATGGACTAAATTTCTACCTTACAGCTATTTTTAGTTCAACATATATATAATGCATAAAATCTATACTATTATTCTGCTTGTTTATATGTACGACCATTATGCTTTCTGGCCGAGAACCTGCTGCATAAGCATGCGTAGTTAGAATGTTTCCCCAAGAAAAACTGCACATGCGCATTATTCCCTCGACGACAAACAGTCTGCCCGTGGCAAAGAGCTGCAAAGCTCAATGATCAAGTCGCAACAATTGCTGTATGAAACAAGAAGTAACAACAAAAGGGGAATATGAGTATACTTTACAAACCATTTTGTACAACAGAATATTAAGAACTTATCAAAGTTTTTAAAAAAGGTTTGACATTTGATCGTAGAATAACATTATAAGTTTATTTAATGATAGTATTAAGTACAGTAAAGTTTAGTCCTAACTAAGCAAAAGTAAAAAAAAATGTAACAGGTTACAGTGTTAATTTATCTCTTTATCGAACTTAGGCCTAACATAAGTTAAAGTTTTATAAAGTACGGCCTATATACAAATGGAGGTGCTACTATAGCATGTGGTCTACCGCAGTATCCATAGTCTATCGAGACCCCCTAACTAAACTAAAGTAAAAAAAAAAATGTACACAGGTTACAGTGTTAATTTATCTCTTTATCGAACTTAGGCCTAACATAAGTCAAAGTTTTATAAAGTACAGCCTATATACAAATGGAGGTGCTACTATAGCATGTGGTCTACCGCAGTATTCGTAGTCTATCGAAACCCACCGGACTCTGTTACCCCTACCCCAGAGGGATCATAGAAGACCCCACCTGACCTGACTTGACCTGTCTATTTAACTAAGTGTAAAAGTCTCTTTAGACTGCACTCTATAGTGTAAAAGTCCCGGTAGACCGCACGCTATAGTAGCACCCAAGTGGATTTACACATTTCATTGTCTATGAGTACAATTCATTTGTATTGTGCTAGAAATGTTATATTCAAAGAAGTACTGTTATGATAAAGATACAAATTTGGCCAGAAATGTTTTGTGGATCTCTGCTAGAAGTGTATTATTAGGAGAAAATTATATTTGGTTGATCAATATAAATATTAGCTAAAAGAAAAGAACTATTTCTAACTTGTTTCTAGACTTTTTCTAAAGCTTGATTTACACTTCCTAATGAATTTAGTGGTACTTCCTAAGCCAAAAATTAAAAGCATTTTCTGTGCAGTTTTGAAAACAAAGATACTTCTTTCTTTTTTTGTAGGCAGATAGTGTTTATTGGTGTAGTGTGTTTATTCAAATAAAAAAAGTGTATTTTTAAGCAACACTAAAACAATCAGTGTACACTAACATCTCAGTTTTAAAGTTTTAAGTGGATGCCAACTACATAGAAGGTCATAAGCTCTCTCATTAAATCTTTATAAGATTCTTTCAAATTAGCCAGTCCTAAGCAAAATAGTTTACAAACAGTGTGCATTATGTTGTTGTCAAACATAAGTCCAAAGGTAGGATTACCAAACATATCATATGTAAGTTAGATAGAATAATAGAAAAGTATACATTAGAATTTTTATAAATAAATTTGAAGGTTTTACAACCAGGAAACACCAAAGAATTTGTGTAGTGTATGTGCGCTATATATTAAAAATAAAACAAACAATATATCATTCTTAGGAAGTAAACTACATAGAAGTTAACAGGGAGTAATTTTACTTTAGGCAAACAATAAACAATTTATGCTCTCAATATAAATAAGATTAGTTTTTCTGAATTACTGTATGAAGTTTTCTTTGCTGCTTTTTCTGATGGTAATTTATTATTCGAAGGCACACATACTTAAAGTAAAGGGGTACATATGAATAAAGACATAGGGTAAATAAAACAAAATAATTGGGTAAATCAGAAAGAAAAAGGTAATCCATCATAAACAATGAATATAACTTAGACATTTGTAAGACTTCTTTACCAGTGTCAAATATAATTAGATTTCAAAAATTTTGGGCATGAGGTAGTATTGTTAACAGCCCTTGTGTTTTATTGCTCTTTGTCTATTGAGTGAAAAAAACAATTTGTCAAGAAACATAACACAAAATAATTTATCATGTTAACCCCATCTGGACTGGAAGAGTGTCACTGACATCCCTAGATTTTTCCCTTCTTAGTGTGAAAATACTTAACTAAATTGCAAGGAACTTAGAACAAACTTACTAGTCTCTTAAGTAGCATTTCATGATGAAATGTATGCAGTATATTTTGTAATTTCCACTCAGTTATCACAAAGTTAAGATGGTTTATTGATTATTGAGACTGAAAGGGCATTGTTACCTTTATTTTCCAGGCTATTGAGCAGAGTTTTGTGAAAAGATCTTTATAGGATATTTTGTAATAGCTGCTCAGTTGTCATATAGTAAGGGCACTGGTGTTAGTAGATACTGTGCCTAGTATATCAGTTTGTGTGACTGAGGATGATCACTAGAAATTCAAAAACTCAGCTGAAAGAGTCAGCATTGTGACTCTTATTTTCCTAGCTTTATAGAAATTTTCTTAAGCAAAATATCATCCAACATTCTGCAAAGCTTGTCTAGCCAAGTAATGGAGAAAGTTCTGAGGAGCAAACCACATAAAGCTTGTTGTATTCATCTACAGTATACTTGAAGTATATAGAACTGCTCCATTCACAATGAGGGAGTTGTGTTCTTTCTCAGCACATAATGCATAGCAGGTTGTTTTTGTCTGTATTTATTTATACAATATCTTGATAATTCAGCTATTGGTTTTGACAGCCATCTATGACAGTAAATTTATTTTACTATAAAGTGTTGTATTTAGCCGAGGTTAGTCTGAGTGTGTATCGATATATCTTGTAGTGATTGCACAAATATTAATTCTTGCTGAAAGATTTCTAGCTGTAAGTCTTAGTTAAGCTGAATTCTACCGGTGATTATTTATCTTATGATGGTGAGAAAAGCAGTTGGATTTAATGCTTCTTTCGATTCACCCTTTCCAGGGTTACTGATGAAGGGTGTAATCCCCCAAAACAAGTATAACTCATGGACAAGTTGTGAATCAAGTGATTGGTTGGCTTTTATATTTACTTATTTATTTCTAGTAAAGAAACAATGTTTTAACTAAAGTTTATAAAGAATACTTTATCTTAATGATTTCAGTTCCAGTGTACCTTTATCCATGCAAGCAAACAAACTACTAATTTTGAAAGCTGTTGAAGATGCCAACAGATCAGTTGCAAAAAACACTCCAAAATTACCAGGTATGAATTTGATTTTTAGTTCTGTCATGCACTACTAATTTGCAAGGTGGATTTTCTTATTGTTTATGACATAAGTTCATCATCAGTGTTGTTTTTTAATATACAACCTATTTTTATATTTGAAGTTGGTATGCTTAATTTTTGTCGTAAGGTAGATATGCATAATATATCTTGAAATGAATAATATGTTTGCAGAAAAAGATAAAAATCATGTAAGTTGGAAATTTGACTGGATAAATAAGCACACAGTAACAAACTTGTAAAAAAAATAACTATGGGAGATGTTGGATGGCGTACATATTATCTTCCTTTTTGTTTTACCAAAGGTGTTAACTGAAGTCTGCTAAATATCTTCTTCAGTTTTCAATTGATTGATGATGATGTAAACGATGATTTCCAAAGTTTTGTGAGTTTATCAAGGTCTGTGGCTTACAAGTTCAATCCTTAATCCACAGACCCTGTTGGATATATCACAGGCTAAGTTTCTGTTGTGTGATGTTTTTCTCATACTCACTGATGCTAGTTCTGATTTTGTAGTGCCACTAGGGATTGTCAAGTGCTAAGGCATCCCAACTTGATTCTGAAATTTCAGATTCTGTTTTAGCATGTCTCTGAATCTTCAGTTTCTGACTACGAAAAATGAATGTTCCATTCTTCAACTGTTTGTAGAGTGATGCCTTTGGTAGCTGGTTCTCCTCCTTTCACACATGTTCTGTTTATCTTAGCTGAGCAGTCATGAGCAATGTTTCTGTGCTTGGCAGGTTGGTACATAAAAATATTTTCTCATTGGATATCTTATCTGATTTTCTAATTTTTATGATAGTTTCTAGGTGACATAGTTGATCTTGGATATGAGTTAGACATATCTAAGTATAGGCACCAGCATTCACATTTATATAAAGTTGTATAAAGAATCATGGCTCAGTGGACTTTGTCTTTTGTAATCAGATGAATTCTATATTGGCTTCATAATTTTTTCTGAAGTTGACTGAAGATGTGCAACCTTCTTGGATGCAGTTGTTTAGCTTTGGGTACTGCCATCACAGGAAATGATGCTATGCAGGTATGTGAATTCTTTTACCATATTCAAATAGATGTTGTCAGTGATGATACACAGATCAGACTCCATTTGGCTGGTGGTGTATAACTTTTGTCTGCTTCAGGTTGATTATCAGGCCAAACTCTGTTGTGGATTGTCTAAACCTTGATAAAATGATTTGAAGCTCCTCCTTGTAAAATGAGCTATTAGAGCACTGTCATCTACAGAATGTAGTTCCCAGACTTGGTATTCAGTCTCTAGGTTGAAGAAATTCCTGTCAGTTCTGGTCTGAGTGTAGTTCCCTACTGTTGTAGCATCCTCAAGCATGGCTGTAAGAAAACTGAAAAGAGTGGGTGCAATTATGCATGTGTTTAACTCTGTTTGTGACGGGGAAAAGGGAAGATGTCTTGCCTTTGCATGATTTGTATTATTCCAGCTGCACCCCTCTCAGCCTCCTCCATGGAATCCAGTAGCACAAATTCTCATGACAGTTGGCATGAACTTGGTTGCACGTTTTATTTCAGAAGTCCTTTTTCTAGACTAATTGCCTGCCGAAGCTAATGATATGAGGTTGGTGTGTGAGGACATTGGATAAGAAATTAATCCTTCTGTCTTAAGGAAGTTGCATGGCTCCAACCAGTTAACCATGTCTTAGGCATGGTTGGTGAATGGTTTTTATGCTACTCTGAGATTCCACTACACTTTGGCATGGAACTCATAGCACTTAGCTTGCCTATTTTTCCACACATATACAGTGTGACTTTATAGAGGCTATGACAGGCAGGGGAAGATTTGTGCAATCGGCTCCAATTTTCACCCAAGTGAATCAGCCAGCAGTATGAGGTTGAATGTAAGAGCAGTTAATCAACTATAAGCATAACTACACATCCAACTGCTATATGGTACCACCACAACATACCTGCTAAATGTAATGCAGAATATATTACAGTGATTAAAAGTAGATTTGCATTTCATACACAGTCAAATTTATAAAGCTTTGTTAAGCCTTATTTCATGTCAATCCATCTGTATATAAAAATGACAATTAATAAAAAACTTGACTGAAAAAAATCATAAGTTGAACTGGTACATTTACAACAATAATTTACCATAGAGATTTTGTTATTATCATTTCATGTTTGAAATATAATGTTGGTTAATTAAGTCACTTACAGAAAGTAAAAGCTGAGTAGTCAGATGTGATGATTCTGTTAATTTGTAATGCTGCTACAATAATGTCTAAAACATTGATTAGTTTCTACTCAGAGGGAAAAAACAACAACCTGAAAACACATCAAATTATTTTCTATATTGCATTTTGTCTCAATACAAAGAATTTTGCTGCACATTAGGTTTATAATACTTGAAACTGAATAAACAAAAAGTCTATATACATAGCTCGAGTGGAACCTTACCAACCAACTCCAATCTACCAGTTGAAGGATAAACAACAAGAAGTTCAACAACGTGTTCCAGTAAAACCCATTGATACGAAACTTGTAGTTCAACAACGTGTTCCAGTAAAACCCATTGATACGAAACTTGTAGTTCCACAACGTGTTCCAGTAAAACCCATTGATACAAAACTTGTAGTTCAACAACATGTTCCAGTAAAACCCATGGATACAAAACTTGTAGTTCAACAACGTGTTCCAGTAAAACCCATGGATACAAAACTTGTAGTTCAACAGTGTGTTCCAGTAAAACCCATGGATACAAAACTTGTTGAACCTTTAGAAGAAAAACAACTTCTAGATGGTAGGTTAAAAAATTTATCTTCTTTTTGTAATGTTCTGTTGGCTTCTGAAGAAAGAGAATTCAATTCTTTGAATTAAAAAGTTAATATCTTATTAATAACTTGTTAAAATTAAAAAGTAAATTTCTCTGGTATCTATTCAAACACTAATCTTGATATCTTGTATAATAGGTATCATAATTAAGAATATTATACCAAATCAAGCATACTACACTCTAAATCTGTTTTATTTCTTTAAGTTATTTTGGTGCAACATTATGTTATTTCTAAACTTCTAATCATTCTGTATATGAAGCATTGTCTTTGACTAGCTGTTAGAACAGTAGAAAGACTTAAGCAAATAGATGTTGCTTTTTTGTTTTTCATTATGATAGAATATGCAAAGGGTATTAGTTTAAGTTTTGTTATCTATTAGTGATCAGAATTTTTAATCATCTTACCAGATTATTTCACCTTGGAAGACCAGTCAGATGAAGAACCAGTTGTAAGAGAAGCTGTTGAAACTGGTCAGAGTTCTTTTGCAGAATTTTCAAATCTGCAGTTACAAGACTATAATGAACAAGTGGATGAAGATTTGCCCAAAGAAAAAATAGATCAATCTGGAGATTCTAGAAAAATCGAATTCTATACTACTAGTAACTCAGTAGCAACTGTTATTCCCCTGAAAAGCCAGAGTAAATTGACTATTTCTGGGAAGATGCCAATACTGACAACAGTGCCATCTGGTGGATCAGCTGTTACCCCAGGAACCAAGAGGAAAATTCCTATAATCTGTGAAGACAGGTTGGTTCTATGCAAACATATTAAAATATCATCAAGCACATTAGTGTATAATTTGAAATTAGGCCAGTCTTAAATCTATTTATTTCTGAGTGGGTTTAATGCACCTACATCCCAGTTATCTTTTACACTATAGGTTTTTAGCTTACAGTAGTAGTATTCTCCAATCAATATTTGTAAAAGCGGGTTTCACAGTTTGAATATTTACTGTTATAGGTGTTCTAAGAATTATATTTCTAGATATTTTTTCTGATAATTACTGATTGTTTCTGAAAATTGGTTTGATTTTATAAAAAAGCTTGTAAAACTTAGCTGTAAATTTCCTTTTTTTACAAACTGCAATTAGGTTATAACTTAGGGATTTGTGTAACTTGGCCCAGAGAATTCCTGGTAATTAGAGCATAATGGGGCTGTGGGTGTGCTAGGAGAAGAAGGGTCAAATCCCACTGTTTGGTTAGGCAAGAATTGGTGCTTTGAACTATCTGTGTTCCATCTGGTCTATCAGCTCAAATTCAAGATTGCCTGTGTGCAGATAGCCCTTTGTGTAGCTTTTCATGAAACTCTGAAACAAACAGTCTTCTGCTAATTACAACATAATTTAGAGATTCTTCTTTTAATTAGGGCATAGCCCAAATATTCCTGTGGTAATTAAATCATATTCTTTTTGTAATATTAGCATATGTCAATGATTATTTGTGTTATTACAACATAGACTGAGGATTCATTTTGTATTTTGAACACAGGCCATGGATCATTCTTGTAATTAAAACAGAGCTTGAAGAATCCTGTAATTACAACATAGACTGATGTTTCTTGTGGTAATTAAAGTGTGATCTGTAGAAGAGGATTCTTCTCTCCTTGCTTGTACTTCTTTATTAATTTTCAAGTAGTCTTAATTTATAGAAATGATAAACATTCATCTAGAGCGCAACCAGTGGTAACGACTGGTGCCAAAGTTACACCAACATAATTTTCTGTATATATAACCACTGATTTGTACTTGACTTGTTATGCTTACAATTTAGCTTTGAAATTTAGCATATGTGTTATAATATGCATATATTTATATGTTTGTTTGTTTTGTCATTCTTTCCATTTTATGGAGCTAATTCTTCCATGCAATTACAGAATGTAAATTTCAACACTATGGTAATGCTTCGCTGATCCCTGTTGACAATTGAATGAACCAGGGTGAAAATACTTATCATTCTTTAGAATTCCCATATACTTGTACCAAAGGCATGTGTCATAAGGGTTCTGCTTGAATGAACATACTGATCAAATTTAGGGTATGAAATAACTGTCATGGTACCCCATGCAGTGTCTTAACTATATAGAAAGGAGCTAGCATATGGTATCGGTATATGGTAGAAGATATCAATTTAATAGCACTCCACAAATAAACCTTCATAAAAACAGTGTTTAATACTATATATTAATTTTTGTTGTCATGCCACAGCCAAAAATACATAGAGAATTGTCAGTAGAGCAGAGAGTTCACATAAAAGTTTTATGTGATCCTGTTTGGACTCTCCAACAAATTGCTGCAGACTTGAACTGCTCCTCAAATACTGTCAAGTACACCCTAGATCATGATACCGAGACAAGTAAATTTGAAAATAGGAAAGAAAGAGGCATAACACCTAAACTCAATAATACTGATGTAAAGTATCTTTGTTTATGCAGCCGTCAGGACAGAAGCAAGACTGTCACTGATCTCAAGCATGAGATATAGGACCATGTACCAAATGACAGAAAAGATGTACAATATCAAGAAGACTCAACGAGAATGGAATATTTGGTCATGTAGCAAATCTTTACTTATTTTAATCTCCAAATATTGTCAAGAGACTGAAATTTGCTAAAAAGTACAAAAACTGGACTTCTGATGATTGAAAAAGGGTGTTATGGATGGAGAGTCCAAGTTTGAAATATTTGGTTCAAAGCATAGGGTGTACGTCCAGCAGAAGAAAGGTGAAAGATACTTACCTCAATACATAGCACCTACCATAAAGCACGGGGGGAGGCACTGTGATGATTTCGGGGTGTTTTTCTGCTGAGGCGACAGGAGATATTTGTAAAATAGATGGAACAGTGGACCAGCACAAGCACCATTAGATACTGATCCGTCATGGTATACCTAGTGTTTAGCGTATTATTGGTAAAGGATTCTACTAACAAGAAGATTATGACCCCAAACACTCATCCAACCTATGCAGAAATTAATTAGCTGAGTAAGAAGCTGCTGGAGTCATTCAAATGATGCAATGGTCCCCACAGAGCCCCGATCTCAACCTAATTGAGCAGATCTGGGATTTGATAGATCAAAAACTTGACAAATCAAAAGTTATTTGAACAAAAACTTTATGGGAGTGTATTAGAGACATTTGGAGTAAAATCCCAAAGGACACTTTGATTAAATATGTTGTAGCAATGCCTGAAAGACTGTCTGCAGTTATTAAAGCAAAAGGGGACACACAAAATATTAACTGTTTGCTGAAATCAAGTACTTCCACTGAGATTCTGTTGTACTAAATATGAAGATTAATAAAATGTTGATGTTTTACCTGTGATTTATCTTCCATTGTTCTTTGAAAGTAGCCTGAAATCTAATTTTTGACTTTGTCCTAACACTTTTGCACAGTACTGTGTGTAAAGTTTCCTGTGCAGAAGGAAAAGTTGTATGCTATTTTCAAAGAGTGTAACAATAAAAGAATGAGAAACCATTTTCTGTAAATGTTTGTTTTTTTTTCCACTTTAGCAGCTTAGAAGACAAGCAAACAAGCCCTAGGTTTGTGGTGACCCTAGAAGGGATTAGACCTGACCATTTTGCCAAAAAGAGTAAAGTGAGAAGGACTGTCCTGTCAGGTGAGAAGTCACAAGACTATGAAGATGATATAGAGCTAGTGACCCTTGAAGATGAAATAACTCGAGACATTCTGAACACTGATTATCCTATGGAAGGTGAGTTTGGTTAACAGTTTGGAATAACTTGTGTAAAGTTAAACATTTGAATTGTGTATGTGTAGGTTGTTTCTATTAATATTGCAGTTTTGTTTGCAAAGTCCACCATCTCGTACAACATTCTTGTCTCTCGTTTTGTATTAACAAATAATCATTTTTTATGTGCTCTTCAGATACTGGGAACAAGATATATTGTGGAATTGGAAGTTCAAATTTACTTGCAACCTTAAAGTCCATGTGTGTGTTTCTCATAGCAATAATGTATCATTAAGTGTAGAGAAAGAAAATATTGACTAACATATCAGTCCATTTTGTTTGATAGTTATCATTAATTATCGATATTTAGCTACTCATTGAAACTAATGTATACAAGGTGTACAAAGTTATGGATATGATATGTATTAACAATATTTCTTCCATTATGGACTTTCATCTAAATCTGAGAGATTTGGACATGATGAATAAATGTAATATACACTAGTAATCTAAAGTTGTGGAGCTTTATACTCAAAGAGCACTTAGATTTGAGTTGCACAGGAGACATGCTCCCTCCAGGAGATCCATTCCAATAAATCTAAAACTGTTCCATGACCATTGAAGCATCCATCAATCCTTGTTGTTCAATCTTGTAACCTTGGAATAACTAGGTAGGTCAGCAGTAACTTTAGGACTTATGGTGTAAAATCCACAGTTTGATTCCCTGTGGTGGACAGAGTACAGATAGTCCATTGTTTTTAGTTTTGTGCTTAAAATAAACAAACCTAGTGTTGGGATATAAAATGCATTAAGAAATCTAATTATGATATTTTGCAAAGAAAGTTTACCAGATTAAAATGTGTTTGTGAAATTTAGAAAAGTTTTGGTTTGATTACTGTTTTATAATTTTAGGATTACAAAACATATAAACAACACACTGAAAAAAACCATTCTAAAAAATATTGTTACTTAGTAAATATTTCTATAAAGAATGACTTCCAAGGGCATAAGGAAAACTACTTTTGAGGATCAGATAATTAACCAGTACAGTTTGTTTCTTTCAACTGCATTTCACTTATCATCTTTTTGCATCGTTACTCTGTGAAACTGTTAGTATAAAATTCTGCAATTTTGCAATGAATTAATTACAAGTTAAAATGTGCATTTAATTTTTTTTGTGTTTGAAGAAATTCTGGAAGAAGAAGAAGAAGAAGCATTTGATGCTCCCCAAAAGAAACTGAAACTCCGGGAAAGATGTAAATATTGGCCTGGGTGCAAAAATGGTGAAAAGTGTTCCTATCATCACCCCACAGTTCAGTGCAAGTAAGTATCAATACATAATATTGCTCTATTATGTTGATGCATGACACTGTATTGAAACAAAATTATTTTTCTTTTACATCATTAATATATGGTAACTGCCAAAAACTTGAAATATTAACATTTCTATCTTTATAGCTCTGTATATTTTTCTTCTTAAGTAAAGTATTAACTTTTCTGTCATCTTTAAAGTTTCATCCAAAAATACTGAATATTAACTAAATATACAAATGTGTACATGTTGTTTTGTTTTCATTGTCATGGAATCTTCAACACAGTTAAACCTTACATAGGAAGGTTGTACCACTTATAAGACACACATAACTTGTTGTTATATGTTTTTGCATAAAGTAATTGAAATATATAATTTTCATCTGTGTAAAAATATTCTGATTCATAGTTTTCTATTTTAAGCTACATTTACATCTACTCCTAGTATTACAATTAATTGTCTTTATGCAAAACTGCAATATTAATTTTATTCTTTTTTTGTTGAGTTTAAAGAATCTATATAACATTTATTACACAGATGAATAAAAATAAATAAATTTATATTTAATGACAAACAAAATTAATACAAAGGTAGCTTTAAAGATTTCTTTGATGAAATTGTAGTGAAAGGTACCAAAAATATGTTTTTTATTATTACTGTGGTTCAGTTGTTTTTCATTATCATAGATTTCTGGGAAATAAGTGTATAACAAACTGTGGGTGAAATTAATTTTTTTTAATCATTAAATAAATCCTTTGAGTTTTGGGTATAATTTAATCTTTTGTGATTTTCAGAGCTTTTCCCAACTGTAAGTTTGGGGAGAAGTGTTTGTACATTCACCCCAATTGTAAATATGATGCTGGATGTACCAGAAAGGACTGTCCATTTACTCATGCCAGTAAACGTACATTTAGTGCTTCAATCAGTCCTCCTGTATACATAGGTAAAGAAATGTATCAAACTTATGCTGTTATATAAACTATAAGAGATTTCAGTTTTTGACATTTTTAGATAGCTTTTGGTACTTTACTGGAGTCTTCACTGACCGTGTAATTTCATTTTGTGTTGAAATTTTGGTTTTGAACACTAAAAACAAAAAAAAACTTGTCAAAACATGTTCCTCTTGTCTGTCAAAATATACTGTTTGTGATGTACTGTTGAAATAGAAGACCACAATCTTGTGGATGTTTAGATGTTATGAGTACTACTTCCACCAGCTTCTGTTTGTGATGTACTATTACATGAATGTTTAGATGCTATGGTGGTGGTATGAAGTGTTACTTCTACCTGCCTATGTCTGTCAAAGTCTACTATTTGTAATGTACTATAATTCAGATCTGATTGCTTTGTTCCTGTAGTGAAAGAAGATAAGCATAGTATTATAGTTTGGGACCATTTTAGCTGGTGGGGAATTGGTTCATTGGAAGTAGAGATAGGAAGTGTAACTGGCTCATTGTATTATGACATTCTAGACAATACTGTACTACTAGCATTGGTCAGCTCCAGTTAGGAAAGCCCACACCTCTGCCAGCAGGACAATGCACCATACCACATTTCATCTACTATTAATGACTAGTTTGAGGTAAATAATGCCCAAACAAGAGATCAGGAGTGAATGGAGTTGAGATACTGATGAGTTACCATTGTGACCGAGGAAGTGATAACAGTTCCTAAAGTCTCAAGAAATTACTAGCTACTTGGAAGACAATTTAAAAACTACTGTATCACAATTTAGCCTTTTGAGAGCTTTAAATGAATCTATATAAATTGATAAAAGTTTTCATTTTTCCGGTTTCTGTCACTTAACAATCCTTAATAGGACCTTGAATAAATGTATTAATCTCTTTTCCCATTCATAGTCCAGCAGTTTTGTTCAATAAAATCATATCTTAACATGGAGAACAACAACTGATATTTCTAAAACATTTAAATGGCTAGTTGAGTGTGAATAAAATCAGAAACATTGATGACTCTTAGAAACCTTCTCGTATCAAAAGAACAGATATTCACAATATGAAAAACCTGATAGTCTGACTATTTAGGGAAGATAAAGTAACTTTCTTCTTTGGATCACTTTGAAGGAGGAGAGCCTATTTTATGAAATCATTTAGTTTTTAAGGTTTATATATCAAAATATAAAACACTTGTTGCATAATGTTAACCAAGACTTTCGGTTTTCCTATCTAGAATATTTTCCCAGAAATATTGAACTTAGTCTTTAACTAGACAAAACAATACAATTTTGTTTGTACTAAGAAAAAAAAAAGGTAATACAGAGACTTTTAATTTCAGTTTTTACATATAGGATATTTATAGTTTCAATTACTATCAGTTATTGCAGTTATACAGACTTTGAATAAACACTGAAGAGGTACTGTACATTAATTTGTTTTGCCTGACCAATGTTGGTTAAATTGTTGAATTGACTCCAAGTAATTTTATTTTTTTTAACAGGTGTATTTCCAGCAACTAAATTTGTTGAGAAAAGATACTTTTAAATGTAGTGTTGATTAGTAAGTAGGAAATGCTCAAATGATTTTCTGATATTTGTAAAACTAATATTTGAATTTTAGCAGGAATTTGTATTGTAACATACCATTATTCATGATTAATCTTCTGTACACTATTTAGATTCTCAAAGTGTTTTTTTTTCTGACAGTTTCCAGTCCTAAGGTATCCACAAATAAAGCCCCATGCAGGTTTTTCCCTAAATGTAAAAATATCAACTGTCCATACTTTCATCCAAAGGTTGGTTTCTTTCTTTAAATTGCAAAACTCTGTTGTTGAGTTTTTATTGAAGTTTCTTGCAGTAGTTCTCTTTTTGTCAAACTTACATCTTACAGCAAATTATTTTGTTAACATCTTTTTTTTTTCACCCTCAGTAGTTTTGTTTTTAAGATGACTAACAAAGAAAAACTAATCCAACCACCTCTTAAATAAAAATATTTTATGAACTTTGGATATGCCATGAAACAAAATTAATCCATATACAGGATTGTGTAAAAATATATTATATGGACCATTGCTTATGCCATACTGTACAAGTTTGTGGATTGAGTGAGTGAGAATCCTTAAATTATTTAAAAAACAAGAAGAGTTTACATTATTAAGTCTATTTGTTGTATTATTTATTAGCCTACCCTGTGGATAACCTATTCATTTAGGTATTGTTGGAGAAGTTCAGGTATTAGGTTTTCTTCATTTCTTAATTTAATAAGTTTTTTAGAAAATGTTAAATCAATAGTTTTATCTTTTTAAATATATGTATTAAAATGCATTGGTGTAAAAATATACAGTTTTAGAATCAAAGGTACACATTATATTTTTTTATGTGTTTAGGTCTCATTGTATATTTGATGTTATGTACATTACATATAAACAAACATTTGTTTTTTCCAAATATTGTTCACCAAAATGAAGTTCCAAGCCATAAGTTTTGATAGAAAGATGTAAATAAATAATTTGTGGTTCCTAAAGTGGGTTTTATTTCTATCACAGTTGTGTAAATTTGGCAACTTTTGTCGAAATGCTCAGTGTCCATTTCTTCACTCACAAGCTCCACCACCTCAGCACTTGAAATGGACTGCTCCACAGTGTGAGTCAAGTCATTTAAGGTAAGTTTTCTTGTATGGATTTCATTAGTTAAGAGAGAAAATCCTGAAGGCCTAACACTTCACAATGATCTCAATTGCTAGAAGCTGTTGAATTGTACAGAATGCAAATAAGAAATCTAAAGATGTACAATAATTGTCCTTTAGCCTAAGTATTGTATCAATTATTATATTGTTTCAGCTATTCCTGCAAACATAGCTGCAGATAAATAATGGTTGGAGACGGCTTGAATGTGTAATGAAGCAAAACTTTAACATAAGTTTAACATAACAGCAAGTGTACAATGTTTCGACAAGGTTTTGTCATCATCTTATGATGACAAAACCGTGTACATTTGCTGTTATGTTAAACTTATATTAAAGTTTTGTTTCATTACCCATTCAAGCCGTCTCCAGCCATTATTAGTCTCAAAGTGGGTTTCTCGTCATTGAATAGCTGCACGTATATAAGATTCAAAATAGTAAAATCTGAAAGGTAGTCGATAACAATGGCATAAAGAAAAAAGAAATACATCACTACTTTATAACATTTTGGTAGCTGAAGATGTGATAGAAATTTTGTCATTTCTCAGAAATTGACTTATGGGAAGTTTTGTATGTAGTAACGTATTATTTGAGCTGAATGTGTATTGAGGTATAGTTGTAATGAGAATATTATATTATATAAATGTTATTATACAAACAAGGTACTAACCTAAGACTGTGGGAATAGATGTATACAAGTAGAAAGAGATACAGTTTGACACACATGGTGAAGAATGAAGGTCATCACAGTTAAATCACATAGAAGTGTGATATCAAGTTCTCCAAAGCATGGTGTAGATTCATAATGTGGATATATTCATAATATTTTCATTCAAAATAAACATATGTTAATTAGTTACATGTAGCAGCATCAGCATAAGTCTTCACGTACAGTTAGCTATCGTAACTCTCTCAACATGGGCTTGGTCAATTTGACCAACCACGTGACCTCTTTGTGCTCGTTCAAAGTCTTTATAGATTTGATGCTACTAACTTTTAATATAGTGTGTATATATTTACAAAATTTAGCAGTCTTTCAGTAAACATTATAAGTCTTTTCACATACTAAAAATTTTATTTTTAGTGAAGTAGTTGTAATAAACAAAAAAAAAGATTTGTCCTTGAATATATTGAGTATTTGTTTTGTATAGTCTGTGTGCAAAGTGATTTTCATGTTAAGATTAAAAATACTTTTCTTCATCTCAAATTTCATTTGTGTAATCTCTAAAACCTCCTAAGTACATTTCAAATGTTCATTTTCAGTAAAACTTTATATTTTATTTGTTATTTTCTCTACCCTAACTCTATACAAGGTTGGTCAAATTGACTGACCTCGTAACCACCAAAAAAAAAAAAAAATTTAAATAAATCTAGATTACCCTCTTGTTCTTTCTAGAATTACTTCAAATGTAGCATGAAACTACATTTGTTTATTCTAAGTAGCTTTAAAGTCGTAACAGTATATATATATATCTATTTGTAATTAAATTTTATTGTTTGATTCCTTTTGAACCATGTCTAACTACTATTCCTGCCATTATAAGTTGTAAATTACTTGGGAAATGTGCAGGTCACATAACGCTATTGAATTACATTACCCACGAGCTACTCTGAGCTGCTCGCGTGCATGCCTCGTGAAATATTTTATTATTATTTTTATTATATTATTATTTATTTTACCTAATCTAACCTTAATTAAACTAAGGAGATCCATATTTTTTAATTTTAGTTACTTCTATAATAATAAGTAAAGAACAAATATGAAAAACAAGAAATATAGTACTTACCTGAGTTTTCTTTTTTTTGGTGTCAACTATCAATGAAACTTAACCCTTAACTTTTTTATACTAATGGTATTAGTGCATTAAATAATTTTTATTTAATTAAATAATGCACCAAAGAACATAAAATAATAACATGCAAAAAGCAGACAATTTCCTCTAACAATCACAATTTTTCTGGCTTTCTAACTGTGCAACAAGAGGCGTTACAAATTCATTCAAGCTAGTTGATATGTTTCTTGTAGGAACAAAGCCTCTACTACAAGTGAAATTGATGATTATCTGCTCAGAAAACAAAGTAATATAATACATCATTTGATAGATGAAACCTTGGCTTTCTTTTGGTTATAAATAATACAGAATTATATGTAAGAAAGAACTATTAGCAAATCCTGAAAGAGTGGGTGTGGCAAGAGGAGTCTGATTTTCTATTTAATAGCTCTGTAACTAAACAAAATTGAAGGCTATAAAAATTAAGATCTGAGCAATGATGATTTTATAGTGAGTAATTCACCTTTCATTTCATACTTTTTGGAGGGGTGATAGATAAAATAAAGATACCTAGAGAAAATGTGTCATGTGTCACACTAGGGGAAATTCACGATTTTTTTTAAATATTGCCTTATAGAATAAAGAACTTAAAACTTATGTACCATTAAAATATGGATTATTAACTAAGATTTTATGCTATACTAATTGGTATAACATAAACAAAAAGTATTTTAATAAAGTATTTTTTAGTGACACTAAAACCTTGTGTCATGCACAGTAAAGGTTACCCATGGCAGTGTCATTATGAGTTACATAAAAGTTGTTTCAGTTGAAAAAGTTAATTCAGCTAAAGCAATACAACTGTAAGTAAAAATATATACTAAAATGCTTCACATCCAGAATGTATATTCCAAACAGGAGATCAGAGAAATGAATGTGTGTCTGTGGAGTACATTAAACCATAAATGATCATGAAGAGATTTTATCTCAGTTTTGTTCCAATTTTATAAAAGCAAATATTTGACCAAAAGAAGAATCAAAATATGTTGAGAACATTATAATTATGCATGTTAATAACTGGCTGATGTAATTCAGAATTGTATATAAGTATAATTGGTATAATTTCTGTCCATAATCCTGGGAATAGGCAAGCCCAAAAAGAGACTTCGGGGTTTCAAATTATTTAAAGTAATTGACTTTGATGTATTGATCTATAATAAGTCATGATTTTTTCTATACATTAATAAAATGTATGGTTTATATAGTTAGTTCAAATAAGACTGCTTGAAAATTAAGTAATTTTGCCAAAACAACATCTTAACTGCCACTTATGACTGTTTTACTAGGGTGAGATAAGTCCCAGAGTAACATGAGGTAGTATCCACATATCATAATTTTAATACTAAATTATCCCTTATCTAGTCCAGCAGTCTTCTTGTTTTGATATTTATAACTTAGTCTTACTAGGATGAGATAAGTCCCATTGTAACAGCAAATAGCATCCATATCTCGTGATATTAATAAAAGATTTTACCTTACCTAGTCCACTTGTCATCTTGTTCTACTATGTATAACTTTTATCAGGGTGAGATAAGTCCCAGTGTAACATAATATAGTGTCCACATATCATGATTTTAATTAACACCTTCTTGTTTTAAAATTTATAAGAACTGAATAATTTCTTGTGAAGTTAAAAAAATTATTTTCAACAAAATATTTAGTCCCTTCTAGAAGGTGTGTTATGGATAAGAACTACCTTGGAATGACTTTATACTCTTATAAAGAAGGACTTAACAAGGAGCTTAAAAAGTCATTCAAAAATTGTTCTTGGGTAGGTCTTGTCCATAAAAATTGTCTAGAAGTATATACACCAACTAAAACTTCACTTTATATTAAGTTTTTATATAAATATAGTGTAATTTGTGAAGGTTTAATTTGTAAAATGGGTCCTTTTGTCTGTAACCTACTACTTTATTTAGTATATATCACTGAAAATGTTATAAAAACTTCCGACTGCATTGAAACACTGAAAATAAATATCAGTTGCATGGATGTAAGGTGGGTCTGTGAAAACATCTATTATAAATTTAGTTTTTAATTCTGTGGAGTTAACAAATGATTGATTGTTGTTATCAGGAATGAAATACATGAAAACATAATACAAAGTTTATTGTTTTGTAGTATATTGTATGAACATTGGCATCAAACAGGAGATGTGACTGATACTTTTAGAAGACATTTAACCTTTAAATTACTAAATTTTTATACTATTCATTGCTGATGGAGTCCTCATAATACATTGAGTGATTTTATGTTTTGGCCTGGAATAATATAAATTATAGACTTGACCAAAAAATGCCCTATTTTCTATTAGAAATGCATAGAATACCCCAGCAGTAATTAGTGGGATTAATTGCACTACTGATTATATTTTTGCTTATTCCTTTTTGTGTGTGTATGTGTGTGACTTAGATTATTAAGCCCACAAGCAAGTTGTTGTATAAATAGTTTAGAAAAATATGCTTAAAAAGCCGATGGCTTTCTTAGTAATTCGTAGTTTAAAATTATTGTTGCAAAGCCAGTTCATGCTTTCATACGTTTTGTTTATTTACCCGGTAATGTGTTAAAAATACTTTAATGCCAGTAACTTTATAGCTACTGTCAGTATGAACTTGTTTCATTTTCACCTTCAATTTATGAAGTATCAAGGCATAGTCAGTGGCAATCACTTACTTCAGTTGGTTTTAAAAACTTCATTTTGATTATTATTACCATAAAATAACTTGCTGTAAAGTTTAGTTTCAACATCTGCAAGCTAATAAAATATTTTAGAACTTTTTGATTTGTATTGAAAAACAAACTTTCAATTATGAGGATGATGGTACATCTTTCTTTTATGTTTTTATGGGAAATATGCAAGTTAGACAATATTTTTGGACCAGTACATCATTTATCAGCATTATTTCTATTTTTTGAGTGATTTATGCTTTGCTTCGGTATTTCTGCTGTAGTGAAAGAAAGTTTGCATTGAAAACTTCAACAGAAAGCATGCCTGTGCAGACTAAGACGGAGGGCTAGCTGTCGGTAAGCAAGTCTTTGTTTGGTGTATGGCTGTATATATACGTTTGAAAGGGTATGTGAGCATGTGATTTAATAACACTTTTTTATAGGTGTAGTTTTGTATGTTTTGAACTAACCTACTGATAGTTCTGTATTGTATTATTTCAGTTTGTTTGGTATTAAAATGCATTTAAAGAAAGTATACTCAGCAATGAATCTTTTATGTAGTTTAATATAAAGTTAGTGAGAATACAAACTTGATTCTGATTCATTTTTGACACAAGAAAGTGCATGTGAAACATAAAAATAGCTTTTTTTTTAGATTATTTTAGCAAATACAGGAAATAACACCATTAAGAAATAGATGCTTAGTGAGGAACCTACTGAACTGAATAATTATTTCAAAAATACCATAATAGCAACTTTTATAGTAGACAAGTTTTCATTTTAATAATTACAACATTTTGACCCCTATTGTTGAATCATCATCAGGTAAGAGTTATGTTTAAATGAATGTAACCCTTACCTGATGATGACTAAATACCATGGGTCAAAATGTAATTATCAAAATATAAACTTGCCTACTGTCAAAGTTGATTTTATTGTATTTTGAATCAATAAAAAATAGCTTTTGAAGAAATAACATAAACAAACAAATTGTTATATTTAAAACTAAAATACAATATTAATCTTAATTTCATATTTTTATTTTAGTTTGCTTGTTTTATGTTAACCAAAGCATATAACTAATCAACTACCTTTCTTTATTTGTAGGTTCCAGCATTGTATACTTACTGCCAAAACATATGAACAACTTCAGTTTTAGTCTTAAGTTATATAACACAATATCTTACATGGTCTTACATAGAATAGCTTGCTCTAAAAAACTAAAGTATGAGCATGTTCATGTATTTTTTATTATACTAAAATTGCACTTATTAAATTTCAATCATGTATCACAGACTCCAGTTTTATATTACATGAAAATTTGAAACTACTGTGACTGAAGTCATAATAAGTTTTTTTGACAGACCAGAGTTATCCTCACACACCCAGCTTGAGTTTTATATTTAATATTTCTAAATATAGAAAATTATTTTTTGATTTGTTACAACGTTTGTAACCTGTTGTTATGCAATTAATTTAAAAAATACACAAGTTTTTCCCCCCAAATTTAAATGTTTTGCTGCATTGTTTTTGTAATAGAAATATCTTTGTTTTTTTTTTTTCATTACTTTAGAGTTGGAGATCTTAACAAATTTATTTTGTACATAAGGTGAATGTGTTGATACTACATATGATATTGATTTTCTTTTTGTATATTCATAAGTTCTTAAAATTCGTGTAAATCAACATTTGCATTATGCTGTTGAGTTAGGCTGTTAGTGTAAATAGCCTTGGTAACCATAGTTGGCTGATATTGTAATTAGCATTTAGCTGTTTCACTTAGAGTTCTCTTCATATGCAGCACATTGAATAAATTGTAATAACCTAAACCTTGACTGCGATTTGATAATTATGTGTTTGGTGTGTTTTAATATGCTAAAATGCACATGTGAGGAGAACTGAAAAACAAAGCTACTGTTTACTCTCTATTAAAGTAGTATACGTTGTCTGAAATAAATGGGTAGTCATAAGGGTAAAAAAAAACATTATTGTAGTTACTTTATGGGATAGGTAATATTTAGGAAGAATTAGTACAGGTTCGTAGAATGTGATGTGTTACTATGTGTTCTAATGTAAACCAGTACATTCAAAGTTCATACAAACTTATTGAAATAAACAAAATAAAAACCTTTTCTGACAACTTATCATTTATATATCCTACTCACCAATTTTGATACAAAAAACTAGATCAGATTAAGATTAGGTGAAGATTAAAAATAATTTATTGATTATTAAAGTATGTATTGGTAATTCTGCTCAGAAACTTCATCTGGCCTGAAATATGTGTTCAGAGACATGCAGACTGGTGAGCACTTTTCAAGTGTCTGCGTATCATATTTTACAATTTTGGTACTGGTTGATACACTATTTATATTAGCAAACTGCTTGATAACAACTGTATATTAGCATTGTAAGCTGGGAGAGTTACCGCTGAGCCACCAGGGTGGAGACAGATTAGATACGGTACTGGTTGATACACTATTTATATTAGCATTGTAAGCTGGGAGAGTTACCACTGAGCCACCAGGGTGGAGACAGATTAGACTCGGTACTGGTTGATAACAACTGGTATGGTGTGAATTATATTTAGTTGGTGAAGTACAATTTCTCATTAACTTTATTAAATATCACAATAAATCAGATTTATGGTAAGGAATTTTTTAAACTCTAAACATTATTTATTTATTCTTAACACTACATATTGAAATAAATAGTTTATAATCTGTTCTATCCAATGGTATATAAACTTAACCTGTAGCTATTTTCAATGCTGAATTAAATGTAAAACTATGCTTTGTGATGGACAGAAAAAATTCAAAAATTTTTTTATAAGTGCATGTTTTAAAGGCCTAAGAGCTGTGTAAGTTCAAACATTTAAAAATTTTCTTTGTGAATTACACTAAACAAATGTTTAAAAAATAACAAAATATTGATTCTAAGATATTTTTGAGTAAAAAAATTGTTGAAACTTAGAATTATTATTTTTTCTTGTAGTCTAATCTGTCTGCACCCTGGTGGCTCAGTGGTAACTCTCCCAGCTTACAATACTAATATACAGTTGTTATCAAGCAGTTTGCTAATATAAATAGTGTATCAACTAGTACAGTGTCTAATCTGTCTGCACCCTGGTGGCTCAGTGGTAACTCTCCCAGCTTACAATGCTAATATACAGTTGTTATCAAGCAGTTTTGCTAATATAAATAGTGTATCAACCAGTACCGTATCTAATCTGTCTCCACCCTGGTGGCTTAGTGGTAACTCTCGCTGCTTACAATGCTAATATTTGGGTTTCGATACCTGCAGTAGGCAAAGCACAGATAGCTGATTGTGTAGTGTTTAATAACAACAAAAAAACTGGCCTATCCCATCAGCCTGAAGAGCTCTAGTATTGGGTGAAAGGCCTTATCGACACTGTATACAGCAGATATGATGTGGTTGACATATTATTGAACACACTTCTTTACTTTCACTCAGAAGCTCTTCTTAATAATTGTGACAAGTGAAGACATTGGTTACTGATAACTCTGTCAGTTTTTGCCTCCTTTTTTTTTTAAGATTTATAGCTGGAAGTGGTGACTACTGCAGTCAGCAACATAAGGTATCAAAAGACATATTAATAAGTATTAATCAAGTTGCAACTGTTTATATATATATATGTGTGTGCATGTGTAACATTCTGATCACAAATTAAAAAAATTGAAATTCTAAGGCGAAAGGAAATATTTTTTGCTTTTTGCAAAACTATATCTCCACAGCATTTTGTAAATTTCATAAAATACAAAAAGTATATTAAATTATATATTTCTTTAAGCCCAAAACTAAATACTATTTAGTAAATAAGTTTCATGCAATTTGGTTAAGTATTTCCACTGTGAGAAGGAAAAAATCATCTTTGGATCTCAATTACCCAGAAAGGGTAAATTTTAAGTTATTTTGATGGGTAATCACTGCTACAGATGTAGTTTTGACAAGCAAGGAAATTATATTATGTTAAATTGTTAATGATGATGAGACTTCTAGAGAATTTCTAACTAAAGGAAAATATGCTTTGAACTTCAGGGCCATATATTTTGTTCTATGTGTGCATCAGTGGTGTACTCAACTTCACAACACAACAGGTAATAGTACTGTTACAGTCCTTAAGCTTTGCAACATAGATCATTCTAGTTGTGTACAAAGTTGTATCAGGGGTGTAGCATTCATATCATCCAGAACAAAAAGATTTGCTTGAGGGACAACAAGTTTTACCATTATGCTATACTTGTTGCACGAGTAGTTTTTCTTTTTCACATTGTTTGTTCTATTACTTGAAAAACATTTCCAGAAAATGTCTAGGTCACAAATTCCTGAAAATTATGAACTGGGGAAGTTTAGCAAATTCACAAAAACATTTAAAAATGCATACCTCTAAACTTAAAAGTAAAATTATATACCAAAATACAAGTATCCATTTAATTCATCTGTCTTGCTGATTCTGGGTGACAGGAAGCGTAAAGACACTTATTTTAGCAAAATTTGTGAAATTGTAATAGATCAAATTGTAAAGTAGGATGTACCAATAGATCAGCCATATTGATCAAGGGACAAAACTGTGTCTACTAACAATGAGAAATTAGTGTAATTATTAAATTTTTAACATTGTAATGTCTGTTTAAAATAAAAATTCCTTTATCTGAATTTTTTGTTACCTATTGACTTTACATTACCCTTCAGTTGCATGGGCCTTCCTGACGTTGGCAAGATTCATAGGCTAACAGGAGCTGTAGCATATGGGAAACATTAATGCATAGTTTTTACATAATAATAATAATGGCTGTACAAACAATGGACTGTTTTTTTTGTTTATTGGTGATTTTTGATGGTATTTAATATGACCAGAGTGTAATTATTGATTCAATTATATTGAATTGCTTTTGTCAACAGCATGAGCTCAGTAAATTTTCCATGCCATCCGCTTACTGTGTAAAAAGGCACTGCACTAGAGTGTAGTCATATGTTGATAGCTTAGACTGTGGTGCCTACCAGAGGCTCAGTGGTAAGGCTGGAGACTTATGATGCTAAAAACCAGCTTTTGATACCCATAGTGGACACAGCTCAGATAGTGCATTGTATAACTTTGTGCTTAATAACAAATAAACTGATTGATTGTCATCCAGCCAATGAGAAAGTGTCAAACCAGTATAAAACCTATGCCCAGTAATAGCAGTGTGTTCCAGTCAAAACTCCCAAGATTGAAATATCACATGACAAGTATGTCAAAATGAGTCGTGGCTGGTCAAAGAAAAGTCTATGGTATTCTCAGGTAAAAAGGATTTTCCTTAGAGCAACAAAACAGTTTCACAGAATACCAGGATATTTTTAAAAAGTATTTATTAAAGACTAGTTTGTGAAAGGGAAATAAAGAGACTGAACAATTGTTTTTAAATATTTTGAACACATACAAAGTTTATGTAATTGCCCTTACTAGATCCGAGCTATTTTTTTTTCCATATTGCAAAAATTCCAAATATGAGCAAACCATTTTGAAATTCAGAGCAAGGGCTGGCCCTGGATTTTTGATTTGGAAATCTGGTCATCCTACATAACACATGGATAAGAAAGTTGTATCTACCTTTGTTTTTTGAGATAACACCTAGTCTGCCACTGTGCATGAATGTAGACAGCAGTGTGTCCTCCAATGGTAGGTCAGTGTGTGATGCCTCGAAGTTACAATGTCCTTTAAGTTTGAATGAGAATAACCAGTCATGTAAGTAGCACTATGATGCCTTGAAGTTACAATGTCCCTTAAGTTTGAATGAGAATGACCAGTCATGTAAGTAGCACTATGATGCCTTGAAGTTACAATGTCCCTTAAGTTTGAATGAGAATGACCAGTCATGTAGGTAGCACTAAAAATCATGAATGTAACAAGCCTACTTGATTTGCTCAGTGTTGTAATACATACTCTCCTGCCACCAAACTCTCTCTCAAAAGTTTTGTCTGTGCATGTTAAAAAAACCCAGGTCTGCACAGGTGTGATTGTGGAGACAGTTAAGGCAGTGGTCATCATCAAAACTCTTTGCACAGTGATATACTGAATTTTATGACTATTTAATGAAAAAAAAACTTCTACATTCCATTCATTCTTAACAAAATATGTCTAAACATTTTTCAAAGTAATGCTAATACATAAAAATATGTGTTTGAAAATGTTATTGATTTTTAAATAAATCCAGGTATAAAGTAGCCTACTTTAAGCAGATTTGGATAAAGTGAATAATTAAAGATTTATTGGCTGTATAATTTGACTATTTTTGTTCATTTCTTTTGTGTCTATCACTAAAAAAAAAGTAGGTGAAATTATTTCAAAAACAATGTCAATATATATATATATTTGAAAATATTATAGAACAGTTCAATAAATATAAAGTAAATGAAATAAAAGTTATATTATTTTAAATTTGTAATGGTGTGACTGACAGTTAGATGTTTTGTACATCCTGAGAAAAATTCTTGGGGGCACTGGCACAAACCACCAAAAAACTGGACAGTCCCAGCAAAATTAGGATGTCTGGTCACCCTAGTTATGTGAAAACAACACGTATCAGAAAAACTGACAAATTCTAAAAAATACAAAAGTAAGAAGGTAAAAGTACATGGCATGTTTATATACCACACACCTTCAAACAATTGCAGCATGACTCCATGTTTCAACAGGAGTTGTATTGGATGATACATCTTTCAGTAGGAATTGTGTGCAAGACTTCCTAGGTATTTCTGCATTATTCATGAGCCACTGAATAACTAGTTTATTTTGCCTGATCATCTTTCAGATGAGTGTTTATCATCACTTGTGGATGTCATATCTAGGCCTACACTTTGCAGTATACACTCTTCATTAATGCACTGTCTTCGGGGTAATGTGTCAGTATATCTATTGCTCTGTCCAGGGAAATGCATGGAGTTTTTGGAGCTATCTGGCCTTCTGGGTTGCAAAAATTCACCAGCCACTTCAGTGTTGCATGATCTGTCTGGAGTGTAAACTTTTGTCTGTATAAATAATGATGGAAGTTACCCAGGTTCGAAAAAACCCTTAATAGCTCTAATTAATTATACTTGCCATCAGTATTAGGTCTATAGATTTTTTTTATAACACTGCAGGGTGGATGCATATATACATTAAGTGGTGGAATGGGTAATTCAGATTTTCCTCCAATCTCAAGTGCTCTCTAGTTTCTGATCTTTTTTCCCATTCCTATATCCCAAAAATTTTAGAATAAAATATTTTTGATACTAGTATATGGTGATTTAAGAATGAAACAATCTATAGCTGTTTTCTTTCTTGTGTGGTAACTAAACTGACTTTCACATATTGGGTTATCAAAGCTTCTCTGTGATCTAATCATTAAGTCATGATTAACAGTAGGTACAGTAACTCTATATAGTTTGTTGTTGTTGAATCTCACTCAAAGGTAATTGAAGGCTAGCTGTGCAAGTTCTATATCAACACTGAAAAACTTGTCACTAGAAAAAAATGTAACATTTAGCACAATCATACAATTTAAGTGCTCAAGTAGCTTCCAGTAAGATACTAATAAAGGAAATTATGAAACACAAAGACTTTACGAAACTTTTAAATTCACTTGTTAAAGCAAGATTAAAATCCCACCAAAAAATTTAAAAAGGCAGAAAACTATTTTATTTTCAATGATAAATATACAAAATAATACATTCATCTATTAAGGCTAATACCAGTTCACATATCCTGAAGTAGAATAAACAGGAACTATCTACTCTTAACACACTGCTATATGTCCTATACTGTTAAAATACCCATGAAACACAAGTAAAACAATATATCAAAGTATAATGTGGCTTAGTAAAAAAAAAGGAGGAAATATTACTAAATAATTATAAAAATATTTATTTTACAGATCCTACATAAGCATACAAATTATGTTACATTTGTTTCACTTGCAAATCTAGTTTGTCTGGTAAGAAAGTAAAATACAATTGTATCATGCAATAATAGTCGCCCAGTTTTGAAAGTACTGGAATATTAAATTCCTAACATCTATCAATCTACATCCATAAAATAAACCTTATACACAAGTTGCTGTAAGGCACATTTCTTCAGATGTTCTACAAACTTATTTCTTATCCCTTGAATATGTCTATAGATTTTAAAATATCCCACTGAGAGAACCACAATTCTAAGCAGAATCATTTTACAGTACCAAAACTTAATGTTTGTTCTTTTTAAGTAATACCTTGCATGAAATAAGCCTACTTTTCTCTATAGCTGTATTTAACATCAAGCTAATACTAAAAAGGTACTACAATGAATTGCATTTTGGATAATTCTAGTTAAATAAAGTCTTAGCCATACTACTCCTTCAACATCTTTCATAGCTATCACTAAAGATCAATACTAGTAATCAGATACACAAACTTTCATTATATAAGATGACTAGGTTGTTACTTTAAGCCTCATTTAAGTTGTTAGGCCCTTGGGTTTTAATGTTATAGACACCAACTAACTAACTGATAAGGTCAAGAAAAGCAACTTTAAAGGGGGTGGAGAGACTGGAAATTCCTGTTGTTAGTTCAGAGATTCAAGTTTTCCTTTTATTGGCAAGTTGACTCTATATATCAGATAATCTGAGAAGTTACTAAACATTATTTTAAAACAACATAGCTAAGTGTTTGAGAAAACTTTCAGAGTATACAATGTCATAATTAGATGCAATGAACCACTTGTAGAACAAATATTTTGCTGAACAATCAAACACTTCAACAAAAACAAACTGTTCACAGTTCTCAAGTTCTAGCCACAAAATGCTGTTAAAAAAAATATTCACTGAGCGACTGGTTTAACACAAAAATATAAATCACAAAGTGTTTCTGTAAGTACACTTCAAATATACTACAAAAAATAGCAGATTTATAAAACTAGAAACTCAATCTGTATTATTACATTAAGCATTTCTACAGATTAAGGTTATTTATTACCCATTAATATGGTACAGCTACTGTTACTTTTAATATGGAGGGTGAACTTTTACAAACCTCGGTCCCAATTTAACCAGCAGTTTTTATAATTAAGATGGAAGTTAAACAAGCATTTACTTCTAATACATTGTAAAGGAAGTTATTCTTAGATTTCCAATACTTTACTTCTTACCAACTTGCTTCTTGTTCGAGACAATGTTTTTACATTTTGGAATGTGTCGTTCAGCTGCTGCACCATTAAACTTCCGACCACAGTGAGGACAAGGGACGTAATCAGGGTTTTCCGAGGGTGGTGGTGGTGGGAGATCTGACAGCTTGCCACCACTTGCTAGATGTTTTTGGACAGCCTTAGCTTGACGAATGCTGGCTATGAAATTTTCATGTTGTGTTCGCCAGTTAGACTTTTTGGGCTACAGAAAAAATTGATGAATACATAATTAACAACATTTACGTAACCATAATTTTTTTAATGCAAGCACTAATTAAGTCACTTTTATCTTGGAAAATTGAAACAAGCACATTTATTATGTAAGAAAAAATGCTCCGAACTTTTCCTAGCATCTTCCAAAAGTCTACATACTTTACCAACAAACAAAATACCAGTTAACATGGGAATTTACTAAAATAAAACAAAATAATTTTGATCTCATCCTCCACGTTAAAAATATCTTTCTGGAGTTTTCATACAAGCTTTTAGTTTACCTTAATTTTCTGGCCTATGCTATATATATAAAGAGAGAGAGAGTTCTATCAATTGCCTATGTGTAAAAACAAGCAATTATTAAACTTGCATTCTGTATTTCTCACTAGACAATCTATGTAGCTTTTCTCTTGAAGCCTGTTCCCAAAACCAACAAATGTTGCCTTATCTGCCTGATCAATTCATATTAAACAGCAAACTTTCATTTAAAACAGCCTACACAGATACAAAGAATCATGTAATATTTCGGTTTACCTTTCACACTTCAAATATAAAAAACAAACTTGTAAGGTAAACATGATACCTGCACTTATATTATCTCCAAATATTTAAATGAATTTCAAAATTTTTAGATATTTTTAATCTGCATATTTAGGTTATTCTATTTTAAACTAAGAATTGGTAAATTTATTATTCTATCAACTGTTGTAAATTTCCTAATTAAATGTAAGAGCTATCGAAACTTACAAGTTAAATCTTAAAGATGGTTATCAAGTAAATCCCAATAATTTTTAGTTATAGCCTCAATTTAACCAGTTGAATAGAAAAGTAAATTACTTTTACACATGACCAGTTAGAGAGATGAGTTGTTTTTTTCGTTGTTTTTTTAAATATTACCTTTGGATCTTCTTTCTTGTATTTTTTCCTAACAAACTGCTCTGCTTCGGTGCCTTTCACTCTCATTTTTGTGGCATCAAACACCTTCCGCTTCTTTTTTGAAGTTTTATCACAGATTTCTTCATGTTTATGAATGCGATCTTTTGCAAAACTCCTACAACAGAATTTACATTGCTCTAGGTTGGGGTCTCTGAGTTTGGACCTAAGAGGTTCTTGAACCAACTCTGCACCACATTTCTTAGCCATTAAGGAGCTTGTCTTGGGAGCAGAATTCTAGAAAACAAATAATGAAAGCAAGTAAAGCTGGTATAGTGACTAGATTAGACTACCTACACAAATGTCATAGAATAATGCAGCAATCTACTTGTTTATATATATAACTGATTATACACTGTGCCCCTGACAAGGCCACACCTAATGAAATATTTCTGACTTAAAACAAAACTAACTCATAGTTACTTTATTTTGTATATAGAAAATTTTCCTTCACAAACAATATCCAAAAGTATTTCCATATTGTTTCATCACAGGTTTGTGTTTTTTTCTGGTGATTAAGTATTAAGGAATATGGAAAGTAATTATTCAACTGTCAGGTTTAAATAAAACTGAGGAATGAAGAAATATTTCTTGTTTAAGACTTACAAAAAATTACAGTACAATTTTATCCTACAATAAAGTGAAACTCTTATCAAAACATTCCAAAATACATAGGATAAGTAAAACATTAATATTAAACATGATCATATTTCAAAAACTAAATAGTGTAGGGGAACAAAATTTTGGCAGTTTCACTCAGAAACATTTGGACACGATAAAGTGCTTCAAAAACAGATGATCAGACATGTCTAAAACATATTCTCGGCAAACTTTTTCTTTCTTTCTTTTTCTGAACAGAGGTGTCCAGTTAAGGGTGTCACTTGCAATTATCAAGTTTAATTTCATTTACTTACAATTTTGGTTTTGTGGGATAAAAAGTAAAGAAAAACAACAGCTGATTTTTAGAAAAAAAAAATATATATTTGATCTGGAATTTATTGTCTGCCTTAAAGTTCAAATTGTTTTCTGTAATAATAACATCAAATTAGTACTTTTATATCTCAGTTACTGTATATTATTAAAGAAATTTTGCCCAATTTACTAAGTAACATACAATTTTTTGTCACTTTTACCAATTATTTTGCATATCACAGAGTAAACCCTAAAAACCTATCACTTTACTATAAGAGCTTGTTCAGTCTTCTAAATACCTTTCATAAAAAATCATATAACTTACAAGCATGCAGCTTCAAGTCAGGTTGGTATCTACCAGTAACGTCCAAAAGCATAATGAGCTTAGATTAATTCAAAAACAAGAATGAAATAATTTTCAAAGTATCATAAAGATATATGTATGTACTATCTTTATGGGGCTTTTTTCTCCCCCATATTTGGAGAATAAAAGCTTTAAATGATTTCTTGATTTATCTGTTAACTCTTACTCACATAAAGTAAGAAGTTCAAATCCTCATCTATTTTCAAAGCATAATCTCAAGTTACATAATCACAGCTGGAACCCAGTGCCAAAAAGATAAGACCTTACGGCGTAGATGTTGAAGAATCAAATCAAATAAACACTAATAAAATTCTCAAATTCCAATTAAAGCACAGACAAACCGATAATTACATCAAAATGTACTGCTTTAAAATATTTACTACTACAGGTACCTACAATTTGTTTTGTATTTGAAGACCTTTTAGTTACACTTATTTGAGGTTTAGCAGCATCCTTCTCAGGCATTGGCTTCACTGGCACTTTTACAGGTTTATCATGGAAAGGCTGAAAAATCAAAAGAAAACATGCAAGTGAAAAATCCTGTGTACAGTTATCAAATGGCTACTAAATTTTAACTTACCATTCAAAAATAATTCAGTAGATTCAAATGTGAACTAGTATAGTTTACAAAATGAATAAAATTGTCGACATCTTTCTTGCAGCAGTGAAGACTGTTTTCTCTAGTGTTAGGGTACTTAAAATTAGTTAGATTACTTAGTATTTGACCTACATTTACATAACCACTTATTGTGACTTACCTAGAGACAAGTCTAAATATTTCCATTGTTCCAAGTTCTATTTTGTTTATGCTAAATTTGTAATTACTGTAATTGAAATAGACTAGTTGTCCACTTACATGATAGTTTTTTTTATTTGTTTAAGTGGATTCCTAATTTTAGAGGGCCCTAATGAAGCATTTTTTTATTTTTACTTAGACATCATCATTTATTCTCAAAGTGGGAGTTTCTATAACTTACATCTGAAGCTAGTGCTTGTGTAACAAACACTGTTAACTTATTTAACAGTTTACTTATTATGTACTTGAAAAATCTATCATTTCTTGCAAGTCTGGTATACTTTGGAAGCTTCAAGAGAGTGTGTATGTGTGTATAAGTAACTGCAAACTGCGACTCCTTACAAATAAAATGGTGAAGTTCAATAATTAAATTTTTAAAAAATGAAGTGGGTGATACCACCTCCATTCTAAGGATTGGTTAGACTAATCTAGAAGGGAAAGTGATTTGAAAATTATCTAGAATAGAATACAAGTTTCTATAATGATGTTTCTATTCATTGGTCAATTACTCGTCTAGTATATTTCTAGGATCCTAGATTGGAACGATGGTTTGCTGAAGAGTCTGATAAATTATAATCAAAAGTTATATTAAGAAACGAACTTCAAAGTAATCAACAAGTTACGTGTTTTGCAACCAGACTTAAGCTACACTAACACACAAATAATTTGTTACTGTTTAAGAAATACCCATAAATCCATAATACTAATGTCAACCTTCAAAGCTTGAAGTCATTGCAAATACGGCCTTCATTAGTTAATGACACTAGCAGAAATGCCACCCTAAGCAGCTATTTGTGCTAGTAAATACTAATTGTAGTATTTATACTTCAATGAAAGAATTTTTGAAAAAGTGAACACTTTTTAGAAAAGGTTTTTTTCTGGAAAGTACTGCAAAGGAAAAGTGTTCAGATTGTGCTCTTTAGTCATATGCAACTCATTGCATCAAAAGTATTCAATGTACAGAGCTCAAAATTTTCATAAATTTTACTAATATAAACTGTAATGTTTTTATATATTAAAAGTGCTACCTTTTATTGAAAAAAATTTTTAAATTACATCAACAAAGGTATAATCAAACCCTCAGATACAGTCCTAGTGAAAATCATGTTCTTGTTGTTAGGAGAGTTTTATTATAAAGAAATGGCTGTTCAACATACCACAGTTATACAGTCATTAAAGTTGGTGTCATAAATAAGATGACTCTCTTCATAATAGAAGTATCCAATTTCATAGCAGACCATGTTTTCATTCAGTACATTTTCTGAATAACTTAATTTAAAATATAATGCATACCTAATTTATTAGTTGTATTCTTACAACAAAAACTGCCATTCAAGTAGGAGTAAATTCAGGCAACCCAACCTAAGACATATGACGTTGTCTAATAATATCACCACGCCCTTATACATGATGAATACACATACAAGTGAAGTCAATATAACACACCCAATATACATAAGCTAATACTAAAATATTAAATTACCTTTTTAGTGCAAAGAAAATTTTAAATCACCTTTAGTATCATATCTAGATGTAAGATAACACATGGTTTAACACGTGTATACATAGTAATATGGAAAAAAATATATTTAATTCATATGCCTAAGCTTTTTTCTTTCTTATTTAATTCAAAAAATAAATTATGAAGACTTTATTATTGTAGTTAATGAAAAATGATACTGATTCAAGATTAAACCACGCAATACACAAGGAAATTACAGTTCATTTATTTGAGCAAAAATTAACCTTCTGCAAGACATTTTGAGTAACACAAGTAAACCAAGACCAAGCAGCAGTTTCCTAAACTACATTTACACTGATAACCAGGTAAAACATTAATATTAATATTACAGCACTAAAGATACCTATTATTGTCAAATGAGAACATTTCTAAGCTCAATATTGTCACACACACACACACACACACAAAGAAAAAAGTTACAACCAGAAAGATGTTTTCAAACTTAACTATATGAACTTAAAGAATTAAATAAACAACAAGAAAATAAAAATCTAAGCAATGATATATCATGTATTTAATCTTGTAATGACAAACTTAAATAAAAAGAGAATATGAGTTATTTCAGTTCATAAGAACTTTGCTGTTTCCAAATCCATTTTCACCTACTAATAAAGTACAGTTGACAGATACACACTGTTCCCTCATCTGAAATACTAAAATACACTCAGTAATCTGAGTTCATGCGATAACAGTATAGATACAGCAAGGTAAATGAGCAACATGTATTTTAGAAAAAATTTTCCCATTTTCAAAAACTGTAACAAACCAAAGTCAAAAGTCTTTTTAGACTCAGGGACGACAGGTTCAAAACCAGGACATCTGGTCACCCTATTCTTACATTTATATGAAAAATAATAATAATACTCTAAACTGACAGCAAGTGATTTGAGTAGTTTAGGGTCATTTCAATCAAAGAGTAAATCGTACGTGAAAAAAATAAAAAATAGGTAAGTTTGAATCACCATCAGATGTTGTTGTTGTTAAAGCTCAACACTAATTCACATACACTGCTTACTAACAAATACACTTAATAAGTATGAAAGGAAAATTGAACCACAGCAACACAACCTACCAGATAAATCATAGCACATGTAACAGTTGACAACTGTTTCATTAGCCTAGAACTTAACATTTACCATGTTCTCACTAAAAAACAAATTGGTTAAAGTATCACTAAATACTGTCTTTTATAAGCTGCTTCACTAAATTTATTGGATTTACATTTAAGACAGTTGCTTTTTGTTTTAACACCAGTATTACCTAAACCTGGTAGGTTCTTCTCCAACAACAATATTTTGAGTAAAAGGATTAGTGAATATCATGTACTAATCCTTCTAAACAGATACATTTGCACATGCCAAATGTAAACATTTGAATCACTTTGGCCCTTTATCTGAAAACCAACCACCAAACTGCAAGCAGATAAAACACACAGACGATGATATTTCTCTTTAAAAACTAACACCTGAAGATTTCCCCTACCAATGGTTTATGGAGTTCAGAACTACAAGTACAACCATCATCCTCTAGGAAGCAAGTACTAACCTGTACAGTTTCTTCGAACGAAATATGGATCTTTCCTATTACTACAAAAATTAATGTCCAAATCCAGCTGAGAAAGCATTCACACAAAAAAAAAAAAACAGCAAAGGGATTTCAAAAACAATATCCTTCATTCCATGTCAAATCACCATGCCTACACCAAAATTAAGCCCCAAACCCTCAGTAATGATCAGCAAACCCCAATTACCTTCAATTGTCAAACCCAGGTAGAAACAATTTGGCAGTTTTTACCAAGATGAAATATTTCCTGGCTAACTACCTCGCACATCACCCCCTCCACTGTCTCCAGCTCTAGTGTTTCATTGATATATTTCATTAATATATATTCTTACTAATGCTATTTGTTTGTTTTAGATTCAAATCTGGGCACTGGTCAGGTGAAATATTTGGCCCCTGAATAGTGAAAGTGGGTTTTTCTCTAAGCACTCCTGTCTCTCCTCCAACCCCATAACAAATTCTTTAGGATTGGATCTATTGATCTCCATCATACACCTTGGTATTGAACAGACTGATCCACCTCACCTTTTTTTTTCTCTCTCTCTCACACACACACACACAAAGAATCTTACTTGCATCTTCCACACCCAGAGCGGGGCAAAGGAGAATTCAATTTCCGTGTAACTCTGGTCTTCAAACCCAAATATCTCATGTGATGATTGTTCTCTGTGGATATTTCAAAATTACTCTCAACCCCAACAGCTTGTAATAGTTATGGAAAAGTTGTAAGCTGGCCATTAAGTAAAATAAACTTGTTTCCTTTCTTTACAGTACATTTCTGGAATCTGACTTTTGCAGATACTTGTGAACTTATTTGTAAGTTATCAGTGGATCTGAATACCACAGCATTATGACATTAACACTTAAACACCAAGTAAACTTACATCTCGGTTGTCAATTTTGCTTGTAAAAATATATAACTATAGAGGTTATAAAATATTACCAGGTGCTTATGCTATATTTTGTGTGATTTTCGTGTACAACTACTCCAGAACAATCTGCACTAGCTAAAGGAAAGACAGTTAGTCAACACACCACCAACTGCCAACTCTTGAGCTACTCTGTACCACCGATCAGTGGGATTTATCATTACATAACACCCACAAAACTCTAAGAATGAGCATGTTGGGAAACAAGTCAAGCGCCCAAACCACTTGAGCAAGATGCTTATGGATTACTATAAAAACAATTACATAATTTATTTTCGGCTTAGAAAGAATAATTTCACGTGACTGATCGTCTGCAACCACTCTTCACTTTGAGGCTAGCGTTGTACTTGGGCCAGTGAAGCGAAAGAAATACAATTATTTATATGACAGAAAACGCTATCTGGTGACGAACAACTTCTGTCAAGTTAAGACCATTCTAATTAATTATTTTTCACTAATTATATAGATACTTCCGTTTGGTGCCCACCAATAGATCGTTTTGAAAATAACACCAGTAATGCAATAAAATAAAATAATTAATAATAAAACATTATGTTATATTTATTTAGTGAATTTGCGATATTAAACATTTGTTGTTGTTTTTTTAATACTTGTTTCTATTTCTCCATATAAATTCACAAAGATAAGAGTCAAGCATTTAGCGTTGAGATCCGCATTGACGCTTTTGTACTGTTGG